GACCCTACGCCGATGGTATTAAGGAAGGCAAGAAGAATCATCGCCTTACCAGGTGTTTCCTCAACCCTAACGGGGTTGCTCGACCCCCCCTCCAATGTTGCGTGTCCAAGGTTGTTCTTTCAGCCAAAAACACATAAGACAAACTGGCCGTTACGTCCTCTGGTAAACAAACGGTCTCATCCCACCTATTATTTAGAAAAAGCGCTTGCCAAATTCCTTCGCGCAATAGTTCCGGAATCCCCATATGTCACTCCCTCTTCTGTAGTTGCTAAATCCACCATTGCTTCAAGTATTGGGGCACTACAGCCATGCACCTATACCTTCTACAAGCTAGATGTAATATCCTTATATCCTTCTGTGCCCACCTTTGAGGCTGTAATGCTGGCTAATTCGCTGCTTCTAAAAGAGGGCTTTAGCATCCAACAGGTGCTCGATATACGTGATGCCCTCACCTTCGTCACCGAGCACAATTACTTCTGTTTCAATCGAAAGATCTATTTGCAAAAACAAGGGGTCCCAATGGGTTCCCCTTTATCCGCTATCCTAGCGGAACTTGTTATGAGAGAGATAGAGCGCAGAACGTTCGATTTCCCGCTTGCCATCCATTACCCGAGACTGTATTTGCGTTATGTTGACGACATCCTCATAGCATGGGAGGACACAGAGGAGTCGTTCCTCATCTTCATGCAACAACTCGCAAGTATATATCCTTCCATCAATTTCACTTGGGAAAAAGAAAGGGATGCGGAAGTAGCGTTCTTAGACTTGCATATACGTAAATTCGCGGAAGGACTACAATTCTCGGTCTATCACAAATCTGGCATGGCCCCGCACATTATACCAGCTGAGGCCTTTCAGCCTTCTCGATACGTTAACACTGCCATTGCCTCCCTTGTCAGAAGGGCTTATTTACTGTCGTCTACGCAGGAGCTGATAAACGTCGAATTAGAGATCATCGATATGGCGGTACGCGCTGCGGGCTTTTCACGTGCAAAGTTTACGTATGTGCTCAATAAGGTAAACAAGGCACTGTTTCCATGTACTACTTTATGCAGCAAAAGAGAATCTTCAAAGGTTCAAGTAGCGTTGCCTTACTTTGGACCCATATCTTTACGTATCTGCAGAATCTTTAAGCAGCACAACCTTGTTCTACCTTTAACCCCACTTCCAAGCCTACGCAAACTTATTTGCAATGATAGAGACAAATTTTCCATTCTTGAGAAATCGGGGGTCTATGCTGTACCGTTGGAAAATCAGGCAATGGGAGTAAATACAAGATATATCGGGGCCACCACTAGAATGCTTTCCAGCCGCCTTGATGAGCACCAAGACGATGTTATGAGGGGAAGACACACCACCGAGCTCGCAAAAAAGGTACTTGAGCAGGGTTACAACCCACTATGGTCCCAAGTGGTTATGCTCAAGAGCTGCAAAGATCGAAAAACTGTTTTTATATGGGAATCTCTCCTCACTACCACCTTGGACACTTGCAACACCCCTACCCTTGAGCTGCCCAGTGTATGGGTCACGTTGTATAAGCGATTAAGCGAGTACTCGTAGTCTCTAGAATGCATGCAGCGAGAGCATAGCTCTGCGCATGCGCCAGCTCGCACTTCACAGAGCTATCTGCTCGTTCGGCTTTCGAATTATGTTTAAATTTCTACGTGTTCTTAACGGCTTTAGCACAATTTCAATTTATATTACGCGTTCTATTTTGTGTTCGATAATTTTTGTCTAAATCGCCTGAGGACGACGACAATAAGCTCGTTGAAAGTACTAGCGATAATAAAACGCATATAACGCCGAACTCAGTGTTTTTGTTTTTGTTTATTAATTAATTTTGGCGTGTTAGTCAACATATTGTTTACTAAGAGTCATATCATCTTGTGTGAAAGTGGTTGACTCAAGGCATTGTCAGTATTGCAGTTAAGATGCAACAAAAGCATTGAATGTCATCTGCTCAACACTTTTACCTTGGTATTTTTGGATATACCCAAGAGTGTAACTATAACCAAATGAAATCTGCTGGAAAATGAGTTTTCTGTTGCCAAATATGGCAATTGTATGAACAGTATTTACTGTTCTACTAGGTGAAAATGTCTCGCATCACTCACAGGATCTTCCATAGCTACAACATATCTACTTCCATTCTGGCATGAAAAATTAATGCAAAGAGTTGGTCAGGTTTCCCTATCAGTGACAAGCAGCTACCAATTATGTGGATAACAATGTACTGACTGTACCATAAGATGCAACCAACTGCTGTAACAATGCATATGCATTACTGGAGCCTACAACATTATTCATTGACTGTTCAACAACAGCTGTGGTAACATCTTTAACAATCTGTGCAGTGATAGATTTGTGCTCTCAATTAAGTTGAACTCCACAAATTGAGTGATTATTCTCCTGAGAGCTTACAGAGTCATTGGTCCTCATATTTTTACAACAGTAAAATTCCTTTGTGAGAAATGCACAATTCAGTAAGTTGATGGCTGTCATACCTGATAAGTATGACACTTTTTTTTTCCTCTTCTGTTTTATATGAAGTTTAAGAATGACATTCAAAACATATGTTCCTTTTTATATTCCAAACTTGTCTACAACACATGCCCTATGCAAAGGAAACCGCTTTTCATTGCAATGACCCTGCACATCCTGAAATGTCACCATATCAGATTTAGTTGCAGTCTGCTATATTCAGTAATTACATACAAAAAGCAAACAATATATTGTTAACTGTTGTTAAGCAAATATTTTTGACTCAGTTATTGGGCTATCTTCAGGCAAAGTGATTACATAGATTTAATTTAAAGATAGTTTATTAACCAGGTAAAAAGTTTTGCATTTCCTCAAACTTTTAATCACTGTCAAATAGCATTAACAGTAGTAAATATGACAGTTCTAATACATAAATAAATACATTACATTTGTATAAGATGTTTATTCTTGTATTAGTATTTACTTATGCTTTCATATTTATTCTTGTAGTAGTTATTTTTTTCCTTTATTTTTATTATACGTTATATAAATTATTTATTTACTTTTAAAAATNTAGAATAGACATTTTGTTACTTTTCTGTCTCCTAGCAACCAAAATATCGAACTTTTGTTATATTTAATTTTATTGGTTCATTTTTTCCGTTTCCATAGTATTATCCTATCGAATTACGTTTTACGATTTTAGTAGTTACATGTGAGAATTTTTGAGTTTGTAAGATCTCTTTCCCCAGTAATGAAGTTTTGATGAAAAATGAGTGAATCTGAAAGCATCTTACAAGCAAGAATTCATTATTATGCTAGAGAAAAGTTTTATCATGCAATGGAACAAGCTGCCTTAAATGGATTAAAGAAATATCCTGGAGATGCAGTTTATAGATTTTATTATGGTTTATCTCTAGTCCTTGAAGAAAGAGTTCAAGAAGGAATAAGAGAATTAGATTCTATTCAAGATAACAATGATGTTATCCTTGGAAGCGTACTTGCAATGATTTACGCGCATAGAAAATGCAAAGTGGTTGATAGAGAAGCAGTCAATCACCTCGATAATAAATTAAAGGAAAAACGCAAACAAGCGAGCGATAAAGGCTTATATTACGCCGGTGTCTTCCTTTCGTTTGCTGGGCGGCATGACAAAGCTAAAGACTATGTTGATCGAATGTTAAAGATTGTGCCAAACTCAAAAGAAGGGTTATTAATGAAAGGATGGATAGAGATCGCACTCGCTAAAGGAAAAACTACTTTAAATATAATCAGCTATTTTGAAAGAGCCGGAAATGATCCGGATGCTTTATTCGGTAAAAGTAAATGCCTAGAAAGGGATGGAAATTTAGCTAAAGCCCTTGAAATATTAAATCAAGCAGTTGTTATCTTTCCTAGATTCGTTCCTGCCCTTATTGAGAAAATGAAGATTCAGTTAAGCATGAAGGATTGGGATCAAGCTCTCGATTCTGCTAATAGAATATTAAGTCAAGAGAAAAATAATATCGAAGCTCAGCGTTACCTTATACTTTATTCCTTATGTAGAGAAGGTGATCACAATCAAGCAGCTGAAAAATTAGTAGAATTGCTTCATATATTTGATATTTCTGAACCGAAAAATGCTCTTCTTCGTTACGAAAGTGCTCGATTGTTTTCCAAAATCTGCGGCAGACAAAATAAAATATTACAGCACACTTATGCATTAGCAGAAAAGGCAGCTGATCTCGATACTTTAAATGCTGATTATGTTACGGAATTGGGACATCAATGCTTATTTCAAGGGAAACTTCGAGAATCTATGAAATTCTATCGTAATGCAAGTAAGTTAGATGAGAGTAGTGTCGATGCATTATTAGGTGTGATACATTGTCAAATATTAGAAGGGCAAATGGAAGCAGCTAGCCAACAATTAGAACTTTTAAAAGAGATACATAAATCTACAGGTTTAACACCGGAGATGTTATTTTTAAGTGGATTTATATCTCAGAAAGAAGGAAAAAATCCTGAAGAAGTAATGGGATATTTAAATGAATGTGTAGATAAGCATCTTTCTATTACAGAAAGAATGCCATTTAGTTTTAGTTATTTTGAATTTCTTGATCCAGATTTTCTTCTGTTAATTTTAGATATTTATTTGCATTATGTCCCAGATCAGCCCATTACTTCTGGTCAACCAATGCCTCCAGCTTTAAAACGCTGTCAAAGTATTTTGCATTCTGTCATATCTGTTTGTCCTGGTTTACAAAAAGCATCTTTTCTCTTAGGGAAGTTAAAATACTTAGCAGGAGACATCCCAGCAGCCCAGGGAATACTGCAACGTTGCCTGGAGCAAGATGCTTCTTTCTCAGATGCTCGCCTGCTCTTGGCACAAATCTTATTGCATCAAGGAAATTTTCAAAGTGCAAACCAGGCTTTGGAAGTTGCTTTAAGCTATAATTTTGAAATTCGTGATCATATCCAGTTTCATTTGATTAAAGCACGAATTCAGAAAGAACAGAAGCAGTTTGAAGAAGCTTTAAAAACACTTCAAGCTGGTATGATTGTTGCAGGAATTAAAGCAACAAGTGCAAATAAGAAAAAGCCAAAACAAGAAATTAGCGTTAACGACAAAGTATCACTATACTTAGAAATAGCTGATACACATCGACAGCTGGATCAACAACATGAAGCTGCAAAAATTATGCAAGATGCTATTAATGAATTTCATGGTACACCCGAAGAAGTAAGAATAACTGTTGCAAATGCTGATCTTGCATTAGCTAGAGGTGATGTAGAATTAGCTTTGAATGTTTTGAGAAATATTGGATCAGATCAACCATATTATTTACAAGCAAGAGAAAAAATGGCTGATATTTATTTAAATCATCGTAAAGATAGAAGATTGTTTGCTAGTTGTTATAGAGAAGTTGTAGAGAAATTTCCTACCGTTCAATCTTACTTAATGTTAGGTGATGCTTATATGAATATTCAGGAGCCAGAAAGAGCAATTGAAGTTTATGAACAAGCACTCAAAAAAAATCCTAGAGACAGTGTCCTTGCTAGAAAAATTGGGCAAGCTCTAATAAAAACTCATCATTATGAAAAAGCTGTAACATATTATAAAGCAGCAATAAAAACAAGTGGTCAAATTATGTTACGACATGATCTTGCTCATCTTTTGTTTCGTATGAAGCGATACAAAGAAGCACAAGATATAATTACTAATGTATTAGAAACTGAACAACAGTCTAATGACTTGTCTTGGTTAGAATGGGAAGCTAAATTTCTTTTATTGTTAGCTCAGATTCATCAGAATACTAAAGCAGAAGACCGAGCAATTCCTTATTTACAAAGAGCTTGGGAGGTGCAGACTAGGGTCATGCGTCGTGTAACAGTTGAACAGCCAGATACGGTTATGGAACAGAAACAACTGATCATAAAAATATGCCATCAGTTAGCTGAACATTGGTCTAGTAAAAAAGATTTTAATCAGGCAATGAAATATTATAAAGAAGCTTTAGCTTATGATAATGATAATACAGAACTTTTATTAGCGTTAGCAAAATTGGAGATGTCAGCTAATAATTTAGAAGCAGCGCGTCAATACTGCACTACCATTTTAAAAAATGATAAGGAAAATGATGGTGCTACATTAATGATGGCTGATTTAATGTTCAGGAAAACAGACTTAGAATCAGCAATGTTTCATTTTCAGCAGCTTTTAGATAGAAAACCAAATTATTATTCTGCTCTTGCAAGATACGTTGAATGCGTGCGAAGATTGGGTAAATTAGAAGATGTGCCACAATATTTAAATAAAGCGGAACAATTTTCATTTAGATCATCAATGGATCCTGGCTTTCACTATTGTAAAGGTTTATATGAATGGTACATTGGAAATACTACTGGTGCCATGAAGTGCTTCAACAAAGCTCGATATGATTCCGAGTGGGGACAAATTGCTACATATCATATGATTGAAATTTGTGTAAATCCAGATAATGAGACTCTAGGTGGAGAAACATTTGAATCAAATACTGCTGATTACGATGAAATTGATTCACAAGAAGCTGCAGTGAGAACAGCAGAAAAACTCTTAAATGAACTGAAATCGAAGACCGGATACTCCAACTTGGATTACCGCATTATGAGCAACTTTGTTCTGTTAGCTAGGAAACAAAAACACGATGCTGAAATTGCCTTGAACAATCTAATGCAGATTGCATCTGAAGAGAAAGACAAAGAACATGTTGGATTAGTTCTTGGAATGGCAACTGCTTATATGATTCTTAAGCAAACTCCTCGTGCTCGTAATCAGTTAAAACGAGTAGCCAAAAATACTTGGAATTTTACCGATGCAGAATATCTGGAAAAGTGTTGGTTACTCTTGGCCGATATCTTCATACAATCTGGAAAATATGACATGTCCATGGAATTATTGAAACGAATTTTGCAGTATAACAAATCATCCACTAAAGCATATGAATACATGGGCTTCATTATGGAGAAAGAACAAAGCTTCAAGGATGCAGCTCATTATTATGAAATGACATGGAAACAGGGTAATCACAGCAATCCAACAATTGGTTACAAATTGGCTTTTAATTACATGAAAGCTAAGCGTTATGTTGATGCAATAGATGTGTGCCTCGCAGTTCTTGCTAAATACCCAAATTATCCAAAAATCCGTAAAGAAATTTTAGAAAAGTCACGATCAAATTTAAGAATATAACAATTTTTTACACTTTCATCTAAGTATATTTTATGTAAGTCTAATTTATTTTATTTGTAAAATAAAATTAAAAGATATTTTTAATTAAGCCATAATTACAAAGCAATCCAATTTAAAAACAAAAATATTTACATGCTAAAAAATTATATTAAATTTAGATATAATATAAAAGAAAATTATTTTATATTTAAATTCAATATAATTTTTCAGTATATTTTCACAATAGAATTACTGAAGTGCAGCAAATTAATTTAATAATTAGAAGAATTTTATTACAGAATTCAAAAATTGCTTTTGAAGTTAACAAGAAATGCAACTTGTCACTCAATTTTCTATATTAAATATTGATACAAAGATATTGAGCAACATTATACATTTCTTGTATATGCATCTCTTGCAATGCTTCATAATGCTGTTGTAAACACTTATTAATTCTATTAATAACTGTTTACAATAGCGTTATGAAGCATTACTAATAATATCACATATTACCAAAATTTACGATAAGCTGTGAATATATTGATACATGGTGTCCAAAAGGTTACTGTACAGTGAGAAATTTGTAAATAACATTAAAGTTATATGTACGGTATTGCATGTGAGACCTGTAAGTTGTATGCAATACCATATAACTTGTCAACTGGTACAGAATGGAAAACTTACAGGTCTAGTAGGAAATACCATATGTATAACTTTAATGTCATTACAGATTTTTTAATGCACAGTGACTTTCCAGATACCTGTATAGATTAAAGCCAAGGAAGGAGAGAGGTGACATGCAAGTCAAGATGTCCGAAATGTAGCTTGGATCTCATCTCACCAAATGTGGTCCCCACTTTCCTCTAAAAGTCATATAAATATATGAGTAAAATCAGTAAAGCAATTGAAAGTAAATTTTCATTTATTTACCATAGATTTCACTAAAACAAAGTTAAATTTTTATCACTTAACATATGTTTTACATAAAAATAAATTTTGGGATTTCTATGTTGCAGCATAGACAAAATAGTTTTGTTGGTTCTCTCTATCTGAGAATTTTATGCAAAAAGTATATATTATTAAATTTACAAAATTTAAGAAAATTCTTAAGTAGACAATACATAAAAATGTGTCCTTTCATATGCACATGAGGAAAATAACAATTCTACAGCAGAGTTTTACTTTGACACTAACATGTAAGTAGTAACTTTCAAAGAAATGATAATTTTTAGATATACACAAAGCTATGCAAGCATAAATATGACAGTTGTATGATATGAGAAATTAGTTTTCTTAAAGAATATTTTCAGCTTTTAAATTTAAATGTTGTAAAGTTTTAGTCAAATATATTGAAATAGAACTTTTAATTTTAAAAAATTTAAAGATGTCCCATTACCACTTAACAATAGTATCAGATGATGCTGTTAATGATGATCTAGCATTTCTTAATTTTTATTTCTCTTGTATTTTTATGATGGGTGTATAGATTAGGTAAATTCCATTATGCATCAGTCTCAGCTAAAACCAAAGAACTGCTGAATAAGTTTTTATTGGAACTTTTGGCATCCTAACAAGATGGCAGAAGCAAACAGAACTATATTCGCAATATATTGAGTAGTAAAAATGATGTTAATAAATATAACTGGAGGCAGCTATATCACTTCAGTGGAGCCATGTTGCCATAGCCAAACGAGTGTGATGTGCATCAGTCATTGCACTAATGAACCCATCAGTGAATATCAGATCATGGTCACCAATACACTGTTTAATGAATACTGGAATGTAATCATTGAAATTGCTTCAAATCTCTTAAATACACTGAGAAGCATCTACATGCAGCTTCTTAATATGAATTGTAAGTTGTATTACAGGATAACACACTAATAGAAAAGATTTTCAATGTCTGTTAATTTTATAATAGTTTGAACCTGCTTACTTTTTAATTTTATTTTAAGGAGCCTAAAACAGAATTTAAATTAATTGACAGATTTTGAAATCATGCATTTGTGTCATTCTTCTTTTTCATTATTAATCTCAGTGTGGCTGCTGCAATGATTGAGTTTTCTGTATTTTGCTCTATTCACCATTATAATCATTATTCAGTTTCAACTTCTGCAGTCTTCTGCTATACAATACCTTTATCTACTCTAGTGTTTCTGTACATTTTTCCTTGTATTGATAACTTCGACACTCTTCTTCCCACTTATTTCTCATGTTTTCATGATGAGATTATGCCATCTCAGTCTCATTTCCCCATACAGTTTTATGTAATTTTCCATATTATTAGTGGCAGATACAAATGATGGACTACAGGGCTCTCCCCATTGACAAAAAAGAATTAAAATTTATTTGTTTGAACTTCTTCAAAATATTATTTTTAATGGCAAATATGGTTTATCAGATCATTCACAATATAATTGTTTTGCACATCTTAATAATTCTTATTAGTTATTCAAATATTATTAATTTTTGAGTTATTCCTACCCTTCAGGTACTTCCTAATTAGAAAAGCATTTTTCTGATTTAAAATTAAACATTATGTAAGTAATCAATATTATGAAAAGCTTTCAAGATTGAAATGTTTATAATATATATTTGGATATTCTTTCATAAACAGTAATTTCTAATGTAAAATACAATAATGTTATCAAAATTTTAATTATTGGAAAAGTTACTGAACTCTTCTAATTATTCAAGTTTGCTATAGAAGAATGAGGAGATTGGACAGAATGAAGTCGAGATCAGGAGCAGTTGTTCTATAATGAGATTAAAAAAAGAAGAGATAGAACAAGAAATTGATCCATGCAGGAAAACATACAAGAGTTTGATTTAAGAGAGGACAAAGAAGATTCAAAGAAGAGACAGAAGAGAGGTAGGATTAGGCATAAAACAAATGTGTTAATGAAAAATATATTCATCAGAATCTACTTATCACTATTGCATTTAATCTTTGATTCTGTTACATAAAAATATTTATAAGTTAGAATCAAACATAACATTTAGTATTTAAATACTCCATTGTGAATGAAAATTTACATTGGAATGTTTTAAAGTCATTTCTAATCACACATTTATATATTTCACAAGACTTTCTGTTATTAATATGGTGCAAAATTTCATTCAGACACTCCAAAATTTCTTCTTAAAATCAATTTTGTAGAATATATGAAATTAATATATGTAGTATAACTTTTGTACTGAATGATTGTAATTAAAGTACAGAATGATTTCTAATTCACACAAAACTTTAAACTTTAATAACTTTTCACCTGAATGAGATAGAAATAAAATTCAAGAAATAATATATATATAAATTCAATTATTAAAACCAATGGGATCGGTGATAATATTAACACACTAAAAATAAAAAATTTTTAGTGTGTTAAATAATATATACTATAATGTTTACATTTTTGATGTCAATGATTGATTAATGTTAACAGTCATTTTCAAAATGGTGGCACTTACTTTAGAACATGTATTTATTGTAAAGAATCATTATCAAACATCTAATTCTCCAATTGATATGCCATTAGTATACTAATTGGTGTGCTATCAGAGTTATTGGACCATTTGTCTTCGAAAAGAACATTACTTCTGCTGCATATGTTGAATTATTGGAAAAGAAGTTTTATCCCAAAATGTTTATTGGGCATAAATATCATTGTGCTTAGTTTATACAAGGCTTGAATTAAAAATCACTCTCTACACTTATTTAATGCTATGTAGAGAGAGATTTAGTGGTCCAAATGGAACCAAATCTGCTAAAGACATTTCAGGACATAGAGGACACCTCCACAAAAAACAAATTAGTACCAAACCTCACCACCATGGCACTTTTGTTACCGTAAATAACAATCATTTTATTTATAGAATACCATCATGCTATACAGAAACCTGAGTGATGTAAAGTATGCTGCTTAATGTGATTCCCATTCTAAAAGTGATGAACTCTCAGAATAGCCAACAATAATTGACTCTGATGCATTTTACATGCAATTTTTCACAGCTTCCAAATTTGTAATATGTCCTTGATAAACCACACTTTTAAAGTGTCCCCTCAACCAGAAATTATGCAGAGCAAGATATGGAGATCTGAAGATGGCCAAGCAGTAGGAATCATACAATTAATCACTCCTTTATCAGTGAAATATAACAGAAACAGCTTGTGCAGTGTCTGGTATGCAGAGTCATATCAATAAACAAAAACAAAAACACTGAGTTCGGCGTTATATGCGTTTTATTATCGCTAGTACTTTCGACGAGCTTATTGTCGTCGTTCGCGTGCAAAGTTTACGTATGTGCTCAATAAGGTAAACAAGGCACTGTTTCCATGTACTACTTTATGCAGCAAAAGAGAATCTTCAAAGGTTCGTAGTAAAAATGATGTTAATAAATATAACTGGAGGCAGCTATATCACTTCAGTGGAGCCATGGTGCAAACTGAGAAAATTGCCAGCACAAAGAAAATAAGAACGTAAACTGAAGTACACTCCAATGAGCTACAAATCTACCGTATTTGAAGCGTTTCAGAAAAATAAGTATAGATAATATCTGAGCGTATAAAAACGGCAAGGCAAAACTTTCTCGAAGTGGTATAGTAAAATAGACTCTAGTAGCATCTTGTTTATTCATAACATAAAAAAAAGAAGTCAAAATAGTCAGTGGCCAAGACTGCGTCATAAACCACGTGCAGAGACACAGCATGGCCAAGCCGAAACCATGCAAGTAAAACACTGATTTAATGTAAAAGAAAATCGGCTTGACATAAGAATCGGAACCGTAAATCTTATACAAGATGGCCAGAAATATTTCCGGATACAGATTAAATTTCTCCATAACATTTATGGTTCTTCCATGTTCGGTAATACGGTCGTGGGTCAGGTGAAAGAGACCTTCTTCGAAATTTTTTGATTGAACCAACTGCTTGTAATAGGAATAATATAAACCTTGTTCTGTACGAAATGATATCTCTCTTTCCACTTCTTTTATATTAGAAAACCATAAATCATTCTCGTGAAGTGTCTCCAGGTATAAGGAATATTGCCTACAGACGATTACCAAACAGACAAAACTTAAACTTGTGTACACATAATGAATTAAGCTAAAACTTTTTGGTTGTTTATCTTTTTTGTTTGGCTGAGATTCACTGGTTTGTGTTTCTTCTACAATCTCTCCACTTTGTTGCTGCGATATCTTTCTTCTACGTAGATTATCTGACATATTTGCTCACATTTAACTTAAAATATACGTTAATAAACTATATTTTCCTTCGACATCGTTAAAAAAAATAACTTAACAGCTGATGTTCACGCAAATTCGTCACATTTCTTCATGTAGGAGAGAAAATGCACGTGATTANAAACGCATATAACGCCGAACTCAGTGTTTTTGTTTTTGTTTATTAATTAATTTTGGCGTGTTAGTCAACATATTGTTTACTAAGAGTCATATCATCTTGTGTGAAAGTGGTTGACTCAAGGCATTGTCAGTATTGCAGTTAAGATGCAACAAAAGCATTGAATGTCATCTGCTCAACACTTTTACCTTGGTATTTTTGGATATACCCAAGAGTGTAACTATAACCAAATGAAATCTGCTGGAAAATGAGTTTTCTGTTGCCAAATATGGCAATTGTATGAACAGTATTTACTGTTCTACTAGGTGAAAATGTCTCGCATCACTCACAGGATCTTCCATAGCTACAACATATCTACTTCCATTCTGGCATGAAAAATTAATGCAAAGAGTTGGTCAGGTTTCCCTATCAGTGACAAGCAGCTACCAATTATGTGGATAACAATGTACTGACTGTACCATAAGATGCAACCAACTGCTGTAACAATGCATATGCATTACTGGAGCCTACAACATTATTCATTGACTGTTCAACAACAGCTGTGGTAACATCTTTAACAATCTGTGCAGTGATAGATTTGTGCTCTCAATTAAGTTGAACTCCACAAATTGAGTGATTATTCTCCTGAGAGCTTACAGAGTCATTGGTCCTCATATTTTTACAACAGTAAAATTCCTTTGTGAGAAATGCACAATTCAGTAAGTTGATGGCTGTCATACCTGATAAGTATGACACTTTTTTTTTCCTCTTCTGTTTTATATGAAGTTTAAGAATGACATTCAAAACATATGTTCCTTTTTATATTCCAAACTTGTCTACAACACATGCCCTATGCAAAGGAAACCGCTTTTCATTGCAATGACCCTGCACATCCTGAAATGTCACCATATCAGATTTAGTTGCAGTCTGCTATATTCAGTAATTACATACAAAAAGCAAACAATATATTGTTAACTGTTGTTAAGCAAATATTTTTGACTCAGTTATTGGGCTATCTTCAGGCAAAGTGATTACATAGATTTAATTTAAAGATAGTTTATTAACCAGGTAAAAAGTTTTGCATTTCCTCAAACTTTTAATCACTGTCAAATAGCATTAACAGTAGTAAATATGACAGTTCTAATACATAAATAAATACATTACATTTGTATAAGATGTTTATTCTTGTATTAGTATTTACTTATGCTTTCATATTTATTCTTGTAGTAGTTATTTTTTTCCTTTATTTTTATTATACGTTATATAAATTATTTATTTACTTTTAAAAATACAAGCTTTTACAGAATTTTCTTATTTTGTTCAATGATTTATCCCACTTTTCTTAATTTGCATATTTAATTTGAATTTTTTTAATACATACTTGCTTGGAATTTGAAAGAAATGCAAAAAATATCCCATTATTAAAATGCAGATTTCATTTCCATAACAATAAGGTAATTTAAATGCTTCTCTTCGAGAATTTTTTAATATTAAAATTTAAATTACAAGAAAAATATTTGTGTAAAAGTAAATGTTTGCCTTTTTTTATATTAAGATATTCACCATTTTGTGGCAAAACAAAGGAAGGAGCAACTTTATTCTGTTGAGTTAACCCTTAAATTTAATAATTTTGTTAAAAGTATCAGGTTATTTATTCCAAATATATTGAAAGTAAGGTCTATAATGGTAAAGTAAAAAAAGAAGTCCTAAAAATCCTTAAAACTAAAACAAACTTGGTTATGTGATAATGAAGATAAATGCTGTTTTTATGTAGTTAAAACAAAAACATAAAATTAATAAAAATGTGATATGATTAATAATGTCTAGCTGAACAATAAAAATTTTTTCATTAATTTTGATTCTTATCACAATAGATCTGTTTCTATGTTTTTTCGTTCTTCCTGGTGTAATCCAAACTTGGCTAATTGCAAAAATTTATCACACCTTTAGATTAAGCGATGAAACAGAGTCAGAGATCAAATTCAAAAGTATACACTTTATTTATATTGGAAGTACATTTTGGTCTCATAGTCTCTCATCAGTCCAAACAGCAAGCATAGATGACTCTAAGCAGAATTTCTGGTGTAAATACATAACATGATGAACTTCCTCTCAACCAAATTGTTGACCAAAGACTACATTTACTTTATGAATAATAATTTAGATTGCTAATAAAACACAAGTAAAAAATTAATTGTATACACAAATAGTAAAAATACAGTTGATTAAAAAGTTGAGTAAAATATTTCTTTCTTGAGTTATTTCTTCTTAGCTGTGCACAAAGATCTATTTTTTTTTTTGTTTTCCAACAAAACATCATATGGACAATTCACTTCATCAGTTTTTGTGAATCATTGGGTACATCAGTCCTGGGGTACATTCCAGTATGCATCAGTATTAGAACAATCAATGCATGGTGAACTATTTAATAAGCTTTTACTAGAACATCTGGCACCCTAACAAGGTGGAAATAAACGGTGCTCTATTGACATTTGCAAGCTTTTAGTGCCCACCATATCCACAGCCTGATGACCAAGATGTGCACTGATGAACTCAATGACTATCAGAACCTATTTTAGTACATTGTGGGTCACTAATACACTGTTTGATGCCTACTGGAATATTCTCATTGAGACAAATGTTTTACAGTATATAAACTGTTTTTAACCAATATTTTCATTTGATTTTATGCTACATCACATTGTAATTATTATTAAGTTTGGATTCAGCAACATATTATTTTGTATTTGGTTTTGAGTTATACATATGAATATTTCATGGTGCAATGAATCAGATTTGAATGTAACATCAACTGATAAATCTGATATTTGTGATTTGTTAAGCTGTAAAAGAAGTTAACAGTAATAAAGAGGATATTTGCAATAACAAGATAACAGAATGCAACATTTAATTTTTAATTTTAAACAAATGAATTACACTCGTTTTTCTTTGAAAATCACATTATCTCTGTTTATTTTATTCGTTTTTTACGTTGATAAGCATTGAAATTATTTGTTTTTTGAAAGATAAATTTTCAATAAAAAGGAAAACTTCAAACAAAAAAGGAATTAAAAATTTATTTTGTACTGTAATTCATCAATCGATTGTTTTTTAAAAAGTCGCCCGAGTTTTGAAATTAATAAACATCACTCATAATGTGTTTCGTATCATTAAGTGCTTTTTATGCTTTACACTTTACAGTAAATTTTTACTAAAAATAATCGAAGAAAACTATGTAAAAATTTAACTTTGTAATAAAACATAAATTAACATTCGTTAAATAAAATTATATAATTTTAAAACTACAAATTTTTTCTATTGCCGGCCAGATGGCCATGGCGGTAACGGTGTAAGTCAGTCGATTTGGGGTACCCGGGACGGAATCCCGGCGGTAAACAACTCCAGGAATTATTCATGAGCCAAAAGTTTGGGTATGTCGGGGATTTCCCTCACTACTCGATCATCTTCCATTGTTGGCTTGGTTGAGCCCACAATGGAAGTGGCCGGATAAAACCCTTAGCGCCCATAAAGCGGAAACAGTCCAAAAAATGATGATAATGTGTTAAGATGTCAGTCTACAGTCTCATAATCCGGTTTCAGATTTGATCTTTATCTATAACACGAGTGATAAAGATCTATGCATTCTTTTTTCATTATTCATCCATCTAATCGCCAAATGGATAAAACTACCGAACACGGATAGTTTGGTGGTGGTTTCTCACTTCGTCACGTGGAGTTTTTCGAATTTTATTCACGTTTGTAACACCTAAATAGGGGCCAGTCTCCCATAAAAGTCTCCCTCGACATATCATCCACGTGTCACATTTCCGTATACAAACAAACAATGAAGCGACCCCATTGCGGGTCAGACCGGCCCGTTAATAAATCAATAAATTCCTCCGTCATCTGAAATTACGAAATAAATTATATAAAGCCATATTAATATATATTTTAATAAAATAAGAATAAATTCAATATAAAATTATACCTACCCTGTATATTAATTAATCGTAAAAATTAAATAAAATAATAATAATAATAAACGTCCCACCAAAAACGGGGTTAAAACCTCCGAGCGTTGTTGCAAGCAAAGGTCGTCTGCTTCAATACTTTTTATAACTTTAAAAATAGGCGGATAAACTGGAATGGCCTGATAAATATCAGCCGACGAATCGAAAGTATAGTTGTTATTTATCATTATAAAAGTGAAATTACAAGCAGGAAATGCTTTAAACTTTCAAAATCTAAACAGAAAGTGAAACCTCCCTCCCCTCCTCTTTCAGTGGTTTTTAGTGGTAAGTAAATTGTATATTTCCTTTTATCAGATTCAGACCTGTTATATAATATAATAAGTCATTTAAGTGTGCTATTATCAAATACACAAGCATTTATTTGGTGTAATTCCTTAAGGTAAGTATTTGACCTATTTTTCAGCATTAAATCCTTGATTCAGTTCCTTAACCTTGTGAGTTGGGTTATTTGACTAGTCTATTCTACAATATTGAAAATAATATAGTGAATTGTGGTATGAATGTGGTTTACTATTGTTATCTTTAGGTATTAAGTTGATATTTGGATTGGAAAGATAACATTTCTGCAATGGATGGCGCCATATGTTAAATTTTATGTTAATTGCTAAGATATGAACTCTAAATGAGGGGTTTCCTATTTTGGAATTGTAGAACTCTCCTGCACGAACAAAAAAGTCAATGGAACTTTATCTGCACGTGGAATATTTGCTTCCAAAAGTCTGTTTTTACTGTATACTGGTGTACTGTCTAGTCTCTGCTCTGTATCAGTCGAGGTGAGGTGTTTGTCTTGAGTGAAGCACTCACGTGGGGTTTGGGGTGAGCCCCCATATCCCCTAAAATTCCCTAATATGGAGTACTCCGCTTCGGTTAATCAAACCTGGCATTGTCACGTGGCTAAATAGTTAAACGTGGTAGTCTTGTGACTTGATTGCCTGCAACCTGAAATTAGTCTGATTTCAGGGCCATATCTCACATAGGGTCGTGTGTATAGGTATGGTTTCTTTGAATTTTTTTGTTCTTATGGGTATGGTCTATAGCTCTGTCTCATTCAAAAATGTAATTGTACCCTATTTGTGATGTATAAACATTTATTTTTATCACATAATATGTGTAATGATGTAATGAATTAATAATGGTGAACTAGCTACTGTGGTTACTTAAATTGGTGTACCTTTAACAAAATAAAGAACACACTAACTTTATGTTTCTCCTGGTGGGGTGGTGAAATGTAAAGTTAGTTCAAAACAGATGCTTTCAGTCTACTTCTAAGACCCACTTCGGGTTGATGAAATTGCTTCACTATTTGAAGATGGAATGAGCCAAAGAAAATTTTTAAGTGTGTTAATTTTTTTGTCGTCCTGCTGAGAGAAATGTAAGGTTAGTGTGTTTGTTATTTTATTTACTTGACTGGTTTGTGGAAGAGTTGAATTAATCTGATTTTTCCAAAATCAGACTAATTTCGAATTGCAGGCAAAGGAAAGGACTTACTTAAACTTCACTCATTGTTAAAGGTAACACTAATGTTTTTAACGTAATTAACAGGACATGTTCAGTAATGGAAAGTGGAATGCTCTTGACAGTAGAATGATAGTGGAAAGTAGAATATATTTCACTTTCCACTGCTCAGACCTGAAGGTTGAAACCTGTCCACATATAACCAGGTTGAAAATGTTAGCATTATTTAAATTGTTAAAGGTGCATTGATTAATTCAGCTGATATAATGAATTTCACAAAGATACCAAAGATATGATTGCTTAAGTAATAATTTATGTTTCTTTTATTTTTATAAATATATAATTATGTTTGAAATTTTGGAATTGTACTGTACTGTACATATAGCTAGCTGACTGCTTCATTTTTATTGAAAGAACGCAAAATTCCCAGTAGTGATTATTACTTAATACAGTGACATTGTATTAATTTATCTGACATATATCATTAGTTTGATAACAACTTTAGTTGCTGTTATCAATGAAATTGATTTTACCATTCACTATTTTGATTCTGTAGATAATTATTTGTATGAGAATTTTTGAAATTTCAATACTTTTGCTTCTAAAACTGAAAAATAGTAGAGAACAAAGCTTATCAAGATGTTTCTAATTTTTTTACCCATTTTGTAACGTATAGAAATGTTATTAAAGACTGAAAATGCCAAAAAAACATTTGTTATTGAGTGTCTTTCTGGTCTCAGTTAGTTTATTTGTTAGATTTTTCATAATATTTGAAATTCAGTTATTATTAAATAAAGTGTGTGAAATGAATCTCAACCAGCACAATTTTATAAGAAAGCAAATGTTTTTGACCGTGTTAAACAGGCTAGTGTCCGCAGTTCATATGCAGCTGTTAAAATTCAGTTTATTCATATTCAGTTATTATGTAATCTCATCTTTTGTAAGATTTATAAAAATTTCTCAATATGCTAAAATCCAAGAGCATTATAAAGTATGTTGTTGATCCAACAGCATATACAAGAAAGCAACTACAATCAACTTCACCATAATTTAGGTAAATTAATAAATGCACCTTTAACAGTGAGTTAAGTTGAGAAATTCAACTGCCTTCCTGCACTTCTTTAGTTTTACCCACTGTTAAAGGTAGAAAGGATTAATTAATTCAGCAGATTAACCATAGTGGCTAGTTCATCCTTATAAAATTAATTTAATAATTTATTCTATTTACCTAAATGTTAGACTTTATACTATAATTTTATCAGTCATTGTTATTTTACATTTTAATGGAATGATTCTAAACTTTTATTTGTAAATATTATTTAAATTCACAAACCTCTGAGTACTGAAGAATTATTGTTGGCTACATTTAGAAATTATAATTTTAAAGGAAAATGTTTAATGTGAATATGGTTCATAGAAATTATATTTATATTAGTAATACTTTCAATTTTTAAAACATCTTATGTATGCTGATTACCATTAGGATGGAAGAACAGTTCAAATGTTATTTTTGTTGATAGATAATTTTTTCAGCAGAAACTAGACTTTGTTCTTTCGAGGAAGTAAAAATACCAAACAATTGCCAGATTACATCAGATTATATTAATGCTACTAATTACTAATTAAATGTGAAGTAAGTCCTACCTCTAGGCCAAATTGTTTGATATAGAATTAGTAATTAGTAGCATTAATATAGTGTGTTGTAATCCAACTATCATTTGGCATTAACCTAAAAATTGGGTTTATGGATGTTTAATTTAAATTAATAAAAATACCTTTATATATTTTTGTTTTATGTTTTAAAATGTCAAAATATTTGTTAACTAATACTTCGTGTCTTATTTTTAAATTAACTGACATTAATATTTGAAATAACTTTCTGATTAATAAGTTAAATAAATATGGAACTTCGCTTATATTAATGAAAGTCCAGAGATAAAGTATGCAAAAATACAATTTACTTTTGCTTATTTATCTTGCTGAAATGGCTAATATAGTTAAAATGAAAGATCAATCTTTTTGCTTGTTTATAATGCTTAAAAAATGTTTTATTGACTAGTACTTTCATTCTAATTATAGATCAGTTTCAGATCTATTAACTAAAATTTTAATTATTAAGTAGATCTTTATGAGGTCTGATTTTTTTTTAGAATCAGTAAAATAGCAAACAGAAACTATAGTTTAAAATTTTATAGAAATTTTAAACTATAGTTTCTGTTTGCTATTTTACTGTTTTCTATTTTAATGTTTAACTTGATTTGAATGTTCTAATTACAAAAAGTTCCTATTAAAATAAAAATCAAAAAGGTATCTTGTGATATATCTGCAATTCAGACAGTCTGATGATAAATTGAATTTTGTGAATAAATTAAAAATAATGAAATCTAAGATTAAACTTTTAAATTTCAGTGGTCACTAATGACTAAAGCATTAGTGATTAACATTAATAATCAGGGTTGTCAAGAGCTTGTATTGGGTCCATGGGAGAGCCATTTTGTCTCTAAGTGGATTTGTTTAATCTTTTGTTTTCCGAATAGACGAAATATATAGAATGTTTTTTTATTAATAAAAAACAGAGTTAAAGATTTTATTTTCTATTAGTAAAATTAACATTAATTTTATAGGGATAGGAATCACTATGATCCCCTAAGTTTTCTCTATTCCTAGGGAAAAATCATCATTCATTTTTTGATGGCCTTCTTAATTAATAATAGCAGACTTGATTTTTTATGATAACTAATTTTTATGCTGTAGAAATTTTCCAAAAATCAAAATTAATGTTGACAGAAATAAGCTTTCCTATAAGATATCCAATTTAAAATATAAAGTAAAATTAATTATTTAAATTCTGTTGACGCTTGAGTGATTTCATTTTGAATAAAAGAAGTTCACCTTTCATCTATAGTAGTCCTTCATATCGCCATCCAACAGTCTGATGATATACTTCATTTCTAATATTAAGATATTGTTGTTGAGGTTTCTCTTTTGCACATGTAACAAGACAAATATTAATGTGTCAGTAACTTAATTTAATGGAGTAATGTGGTCTCTCTGTACCAGTTGATTTCAGTTGGAACAATCTTGCTTAAATCTTATATTACATCTTTCTGATGCTCTCTCTTATGTATTGATTTAATGATCTTACCTACTTCCTGAGTAATTTTGCACTTCATAATTCATAGTTTTTCTCATTCCTTAACAAGTAGGAGACAGTAAAACAATTTTTAATTAATTTATCCTTAAAAATATTTCTATAATAAATTAAGTTAAACCTGCATTTTTTTAACTTTTACAGAATTTAAGAATTAATTAACTTTTATATGAAACAAAAATATTTTTAATTAATTGCAGTTTAAAAACAAATTCTTTCTATTTATTTTATTTTCATTTAAAAATATTTAATTTCCTATATTCAAATATAAATTTAAATTCACTGTATTCAGGTATGGAACTGACACTTTTTTTGTTTTAAATACTTTTTTGTAGCTTTCATCCAATCAGGATTATTTTCTGATTAAAAAATAAAAATTGTGAATAAAATTCTAAATACAAATTATAGTCAAGATTTGTTTTTTGATATAATCATTTAAGTAAAATACATTTTATAAAGAAAATTGATATTAAAGGAAGTTTAATTATTAATTTGTATAAAAATTTCTTATACAAATTAATAATTAAACTTCCTTCCTTTAGAAATTAATATTAAACAAATATACAAACAGAAAAAATTTTTGATTAAAATTAGTTTTAAAAATCTCATACTGGTAAAAAAATTTGATGTAATTTAATTTAAAAAGTTCTTAATATTGGCTGCTACTTGTCATCAGTATGGTCTTAAAAACTTCTTTATAAATTTTTACAAATATTTTAATAACTATATCAGACCATTTTGCACAAATCAAGATTATTTCTATTTTTTCATGATTGCATTAAAAATATAATACATAAAACTAATCAGCATTTTAAATTTCTTTAAAGCAATGATCAGTCTTGCAATAGTTGAATGACTAATTAGAAATTTTCAATTTGTTTTATGAATTCTTTCAACAAATGATTGATATATTGCATTTGGAATTTCATTCCAAAGCACTGAGAAAATTCATTAATCCATGAATACTTTTTTGGATGCTGCATTTCATAAAAAAGTAGAAATAAAATATGTTCTATGATACAAATCTCGCATTGTAGACATATGCTTTTGTTTTAAATTTATCTAAATTTCTAAATCATTCCATAAATTCATAAATAAATATTCAGTTATATTAAAAATTACCTCTAGGCCAAATTGTTTGATATAGAATTAGTAATTAGTAGCATTAAAATAGTGTGTTGTAATCCAACTATCATTTGGCATTAACCTAAAAATTGGGTTTATGGATGTTTAATTTAAATTAATAAAAATACCTTTATATATTTTTGTTTTATGTTTTAAAATGTCAAAATATTTGTTAACTAATACTTCGTGTCTTATTTTTAAATTAACTGACATTAATATTTGAAATAACTTTCTGATTAATAAGTTAAATAAATATGGAACTTCGCTTATATTAATGAAAGTCCAGAGATAAAGTATGCAAAAATACAATTTACTTTTGCTTATTTATCTTGCTGAAATGGCTAATATAGTTAAAATGAAAGATCAATCTTTTTGCTTGTTTATAATGCTTAAAAAATGTTTTATTGACTAGTACTTTCATTCTAATTATAGATCAGTTTCAGATCTATTAACTAAAATTTTAATTATTAAGTAGATCTTTATGAGGTCTGATTTTTTTTAGAATCAGTAAAATAGCAAACAGAAACTATAGTTTAAAATTTTATAGANAATTTCTTGTATTAAAATAAATGACATTATTTTAATACAAGGTGTTCAAAAAGTAACTGTGTAAAGGAAAAGCTTTTAATAAAAGTGAAGTTTACATACAATATTGAAGTTTCTTCTATAGCAAATGCTGAAATCACCTTCAGAGGCTTGAAGAAATGTCTGCACACAATGCTGCATATTGTCAAGCACAATGGAGGGTGGTTAGAGTAATCTGTTTAACATGTTGGATAATTGCCATCTTCAGCTCTTCCAGAGCATGCATAATGCATATTGTTCTCATACACCCATCCTTTCAGTGCACCCAGAAATAAAAATCCAGAGGAATGTCTCAGGACTCAAATTGCAATGAGACCATGTACTTTGATGTCATTACAAATTTCTCACTGCACAATAACTTTTCAGATACCTTGTATCATTTGATATTAATAATTATATATATGAAATGTAGTTCATAAAGATTTTGTTATAATGTTCAAATGTTTTTTCAAATGTAATTTTTTAGAAAAGGTGAAACTATACCTGGATTAACAGAGGATGAGTTATGGAAAGCAAAACATATATATGATTCTGCATTTCATCCTGATACAGGAGAAAAAATGATTCTTATTGGTCGTATGTCTGCTCAAGTTCCAATGAATATGTCAATAACTGGATGTATGTTAGCATTTTATAAGTGAGTAAATTTTTATAGGTTAAATAAGACAATTACGTTATTAAATTTTTCATAAAAACTAATTCAGTGAAAGTATTACTTTTATTATACTATTTTATTTCTTACAATAAATTGAATATTATCATTTTCATTACAGAATATTCTTTTGAAGTAAAATATTACAAAATATACAGTATAAATAACATGAGAGATATAGCAGTAATTAATTTTTATTTGCTTTTAAGCAAATAAATAATTTTGAGAAATATTAAAAATAGCAACTAAATAATTAAATTTAAAAGAAAATATTTTGTTCTTTAATCATATACAATTGTTGTGTTGTTTACTGTTTAATATTGTGATCAGAAAAGTTCATGAATGGACAAAATAATATTCAGTGAGTGATTTAACAACATCTTGCTTGCTTTTAGAAAAAATCTCAAAGAATTAAATTTGATAGAAGTTTTACTATTAATGAACAATAATACAACTCATTTTGTGAATCTTACCGCCTTCTTTAACTCACAAAATGAGTTTAAGAAGACAGTAAGATAACATGTGTTTTTCTTCCAGCAAATATAACATCCTTGATTTAACACATGAATCAAAGGTAATCAAAAGTTTAAAAGATGTAGACAGGCATTTATCAATAGTTTAATAACAAACTGATGTTGATCAACAGTTTTTAAAAATATCAATATTTTCTTTTGAATAATCTATTGCTTTTAGGCTTCATGTATAATATATTTATATATAATGTCTAATTGATATAGACTTGAAATAAAATATTTTCTATATTGTCAAATGAAATGTTGGAATAACGTACCCTCTATGACTACAGACAGACATGTTAGAATAAACTATTGCTTAATGAAACTGCTGTAGACAGTGTTGAGTAGGAGATTTTACCTTTGATTCATGATTTAAAATGCAAATTCTTGGTTATGAAAATATTAAAGAAAATGTGATAAACAAATGAATGGAAATAGATTAATACAGCAATGAGTATGAGCTTCTTAATGATGAAAAATTAGTTGACAATGTTCTAGAAGAGGATAAAATTGTAAATGATAATTATGAATATGAAATTATGTAATCCACAACAATAGCAACTCATTAAGATGCTGCAGAAATGCTTTCCAAATGCACCAATTGGCTTAAAAATCAATCTGGAGTGGGCTCCTTGCAACATTTTAGTTGTAACAAACTGAAATGCTACAAGAAGTTCATTCCAGATTTTTTGCAAAAGAATGAAAATAAACAGAAGCAGACAAAAGTTGAGAGGTTTTTCAAAAATTAGAGAATTTGTTTGATTTAATTTGTATGATATAATAATATAGTTTGTACTTTTATATACATAATTAAATATGAAAACTATACAAAGTGTATGTTCTTAATCATACCTTGATATATTTATTAATCTGTTTTTATTTATTTATTCTTAATTTATTACACTTCACCATATTATTCTGTATTCTACAATACTAATTTGCAATATCTTCATAGATATTGCAAATAGATAGATATAGCAATGACTTCAATATACAGTATACCTATTTAATAATAAAATTAAAATATGTGTCTAAATAAATTAGTTAATTCTAAATGTATTTTCGTTTCAGAATTAACTAATTCACTTTGTTTGACAGAATTACTTTGTTTTATTATACATGATTTTATAATGAAAGTAATGAATAATACACAACCTAATATTTTAGTATGTTATAATACTTCTTGATTTAAAATTCTATAACAATTTTAGAATTTTATTTATGGTTTATGGATAGTTTGTGTGTATTATATATTATATTTGTGATATCGATGCCTCACTGAATTTAAATTTACGGACATGTTAAAAAATGCAACAATATTCAAAAAGTGTTTCCATTCAAAACTTTGGCCTAAAGATCTGTAGATAGGATTGAAAATGTAGTGCTTCCATTTATGATTATTAACTGGAGGTTTTTGGTTCTGCAAAGTGTTTTGATACTGTAAACAAAATAATGTATCTTTACAGGATTGTGATCAATTACCTGATATTATTTGACTAATGTTAAATTAACTGGACTGAATGTTTTTTTATTAATAAGTAAATTGTTATTGATAGATAATCTTGCTTATATTTATCTTACATTAAGTTTTTATTTTGAGATTTATTTAACAATGTTATTACAGAACAACTCCTCAAGTTGTATTTTGGCAGTGGATAAATCAGTCGTTTAATGCTATTGTAAATTATACTAATCGCAGCGGTGACTCTCCCATTCCTGTGTCGTGAGTATTTTAATACTAAATTTGAAAAACAATAATTAATATACTTTTTACATTTATATTAATTCAAAGTTTTAAAACTAATATACATTCATTTATAAACTTTATATTTTAGACAACTTGGTGTGTCATATGTTCTTGCTACTACAGGTGCTTTGGTCACTGCTCTTGGTTTAAATAGTTTAGTGAAGGTAAAGTAGATAATAAAGAATAACATTTAAATTATTTTATATTACCTAAAGTCAATAACGTAACAATAAACAAAATAACTGTTCTTTTCAACATTTAATGAAATATAAAACACTGCTTTTTTAGAGCAAAATCATTTGGGATTTTCATGCTTTAAGGTTTGTAGACACAATCTTTAGTGAACATAATACTCTATTAAGTTAAATTCTGAAATATTTAGGAGTTTTGCATTGCACTTATAAGATAATGTTATATTCACTAAATACAATAGATGATTGCTGATCTGGTCATTCCTTGCATAGAAGAGTACTTGATTACTGAAAATGTATATCTCTAAAGCCTCCATAAAGGCAATGAATGATATGTCCTGTCATCCTTTGATACTGACTCTTTTTGTAGGAAGATGGGCAAATAATACAGCATCCTAAAATGCAATACTTTACACAGTAATGTGACACAAGTAGCATTATTGTGGAAATGGAAGTGCATAGGCAATCACACTGGTTGGTATGCAGGATAATTGAGAAACCAGATTATTGAGGTCCACATCTGCACAGTAAGGCAGAATTAATTCAGCCTTACTGTTTGATTATTTTGATGATTTTGGATTTGTCCATATGTATTTATATTCATATTTTATTATATAAAAATTACAAGAATAAAACTTAGAATATTTTATTTTACTGATTATAACGAATCTTTTTTAAAGAGTTTCTGTAAATCTTTTCTTGTCTTGGTTTGTCAATTATAAAAATACTAGCAGATGAACCTGGCATAGCTTGGGCAAAAAGTAATGATAGCAAAGATTAAGATTATTAGATTACTGTTTTTACTGGGTGCAAGAATTAGGTTCACCCTCTTCTGAGACTAATTAGAGAATTTTTAGATGGGTCTAAAAATATGTTCTATTTCTCGCAAAAAACTACATCTAAATAGAACAGTAAAATCAGATTTCAGTGTAATCCTTAACCCTTTACCTCTCCCCTGTGGGAGGAGTTTCATAGTATACATTCTCATGACGTACTAGTACCCTAACTGTGTACCAAATTTCAACTTTCAACTCCTAACCATGGGCTCTGTTCTTATTATCATTATCATTATTAACTCATCTCAATTATATTATAAGATGAACAAGATTATATGAAATTGTGTTAGATAAAGTCAATATTTGATAAGATCCAAAATTTCTGGTTTTGTTTTCAGATTACACGATATTTTGTCACTTTGCTCTTTTCCATTTTGTCAATTGTTTTAATGTTTTGTTAAGACATAATGCTGGGAATGTTGAAACAAGAGAATAAATATGAAACATGTGGATGCAACACACACATATGAATGTGTGGTTTGTTCCTATGATCTTTATCAATATTACAGCAAGCAGCTGAAGAAGAAATATTTACATATGACACACAATAGTTTGCACACATTGAGATTTTGCTTTCAAGACATGTTAACTGTTTTAAACTATTTAAGTTTATATATTTATTAAAATATTTTAAACCAGAACAGTAAAACATATTATTACATTATATCCATTATTTATCATAAAGTTTAAATTATTTTGCTTACTTTAACTATTCATACTTGTTTTTTAATTATTGAACAGTTTTAATATAAACTTTAATTATAGACAGCTCCACCTTTAATTGGAAGATTTGTTCCTTTTTGTGCTGTTGCTGCTGCTAACTGTGTTAACATTCCAATGATGAGATTACGGTAAAGTTTTAACTAAACTATAACTATATACAAAAAATTACTGTTATGTTATATTTACAAAATTAAATTGTTTTGAATAGAGAAATTCGTATGGGTATTCCAGTAGTAGATCAAAATGGAAATCGATTAGGGGAAAGCAAAGTTGCTGCAAAATGGGCTATCACTCAAGTTGTATTCTCTAGAATTGGAATGGCTATGCCTGGAATGCGTAAGAACTTTCTATATTTGTATATTCCTATACTTATATTAATTTAATAATATAAGCTGTAATATTCTGCAAAAATAAACTGTTTTGTATTTAAGGTATTTACTTACAGAATATTTTATTTTACTGATTATAACGAATCTTTTTTAAAGAGTTTCTGTAAATCTTTTCTTGTCTTGGTTTGTCAATTATAAAAATACTAGCAGATGAACCTGGCATAGCTTGGGCAAAAAGTAATGATAGCAAAGATTAAGATTATTAGATTACTGTTTTTACTGGGTGCAAGAATTAGGTTCACCCTCTTCTGAGACTAATTAGAGAATTTTTAGATGGGTCTAAAAATATGTTCTATTTCTCGCAAAAAACTACATCTAAATAGAACAGTAAAATCAGATTTCAGTGTAATCCTTAACCCTTTACCTCTCCCCTGTGGGAGGAGTTTCATAGTATACATTCTCATGACGTACTAGTACCCTAACTGTGTACCAAATTTCAACTTTCAACTCCTAACCATGGGCTCTGTTCTTATTATCATTATCATTATTAACTCATCTCAATTATATTATAAGATGAACAAGATTATATGAAATTGTGTTAGATAAAGTCAATATTTGATAAGATCCAAAATTTCTGGTTTTGTTTTCAGATTACACGATATTTTGTCACTTTGCTCTTTTCCATTTTGTCAATTGTTTTAATGTTTTGTTAAGACATAATGCTGGGAATGTTGAAACAAGAGAATAAATATGAAACATGTGGATGCAACACACACATATGAATGTGTGGTTTGTTCCTATGATCTTTATCAATATTACAGCAAGCAGCTGAAGAAGAAATATTTACATATGACACACAATAGTTTGCACACATTGAGATTTTGCTTTCAAGACATGTTAACTGTTTTAAACTATTTAAGTTTATATATTTATTAAAATATTTTAAACCAGAACAGTAAAACATATTATTACATTATATCCATTATTTATCATAAAGTTTAAATTATTTTGCTTACTTTAACTATTCATACTTGTTTTTTAATTATTGAACAGTTTTAATATAAACTTTAATTATAGACAGCTCCACCTTTAATTGGAAGATTTGTTCCTTTTTGTGCTGTTGCTGCTGCTAACTGTGTTAACATTCCAATGATGAGATTACGGTAAAGTTTTAACTAAACTATAACTATATACAAAAAATTACTGTTATGTTATATTTACAAAATTAAATTGTTTTGAATAGAGAAATTCGTATGGGTATTCCAGTAGTAGATCAAAATGGAAATCGATTAGGGGAAAGCAAAGTTGCTGCAAAATGGGCTATCACTCAAGTTGTATTCTCTAGAATTGGAATGGCTATGCCTGGAATGCGTAAGAACTTTCTATATTTGTATATTCCTATACTTATATTAATTTAATAATATAAGCTGTAATATTCTGCAAAAATAAACTGTTTTGTATTTAAGGTATTTACTTACAGAATATTTTATTTTGGTTTTTTTATAAAATAGTTACATTGTTTTAAAAATATAGATCTTCAATATTTTATAAAGAAAATATCAGTTTCATTGCAAATTTTAAAGTTACAATCAATCATACATGGTATAGCTCACAAATAGGAATTTACTTTAGCAATTTTTCTTCTATATTTTAAGAAATAAATTATTATATTCTTAAATGCCTACTTAAACGTTTTTCACATATTAACATATTTATACATGAAAAAACTTCACAAAACCTGATGAATTTATAAAGTGAAACAAACACTGGATTATATCAGGCTACTTTTCTAAATGTTTCTTAGGTATATATATGTATACACCATGCTAGAGTTGAGTGATGGCTAGCTGAGTGTTATGAGTAGGGCTTTATAGAATGAGTCCTCTGAAGGCATCCCTAGCCAGCACTGTATCTAACCAAGGATGGTTATATCATATTTAAATGTCTGGAAGGGAAGATTGGATCAGAAGCTCAGGTAACATAACTAGCAATGCATTTGCATGCTAAGCGGGAGTTGCAAATTAGAGTCCCACTCTTGGCTGATTCTTTTCTTCCAAAATATTTTAAATTATTTAAGAAAAATTAATTTAATTATAATTATTAAATTTAATAAGAGATGGCACCTAATGCCTCCCTCTGGTGAAAAATTATTTAGTAATTAATTAAATATAATCTGGAAAGGTGGCCCAATGTAATATATTGGTTGTTTCTCTTTATTAAGATATTATTAAAATTTTCTGATAATTAGAATTATAAAATTCAAATCAGCACACACCTTACATATCCAGCAAGAAAAATTTTGCATTAAAGTGTTTCTTGCTGAATATGTAAGGTATCAGGTGTTGACTTTATGTTTAAATTGTTCCTATTTGAGTATTTCATTAATAACTCAGAAAAATAATAATTAATAGAACTAAGTTTAAGCAGTAGAAAGATATATATATATATTAATTTACTGAATTTTACAGTTATCAAATTTTAAATATTCTGTAATATATAAATAACAATAAGGACATAATGCAAATTTATGTTTATTGTTTCATTATACAAAATTTCTTTATTTATCTCAATGACATAAATCACAGATAAATGTATATTATTAAAATAATATCTAAAATTTATATGTTATTTTTGTGAATAATTTTCAGTTATTCCACCATTCATAATGAATGCATTAGAGAGAAGAGGTGTTCTGAAGGTAAAAAATATTTATTAAATTCAACGTTGTTTCATTTGAAATATTAAAAGATAAAGTATTAATTGCTTTTTAATATAATTTCAACAGAAATTTCCCTGGATTAATGCTCCACTTCAAGTTGGCTTATGTGGATTCTTGTGAGTTAAATAATTTTTTTCTTATTATTATTTTTTAATTTACATGAAATTGTAACTTTTAATTATTTAATACCTGTGATGTAATATAATAAAAATATTTAATATTATTTAGAAAATAATATGAAAAATACTAAATTTTATTTACATATTAAACTTCTGACAGGTGAAATGAATAAATCAAAAGTTCTCAATTTGTTGTTCTAGAATTTAATATAATGTTTTTTGTTTTTTTTTTATAAATTCTTACTTTAATACTGTAAAAAACTTTATCATGCCCAACAGATGATTTTTTTTAAATCTATTTTTGTCCTGTAGTCACTTACAGGGCTTTTTTTAGCAAGCTCATTATGGGTTCAGCCAGGCGTACAATGGGACAATGGTTAGGGATGGAGTCTGACTTATTTAGATGGACCAACCCCTGAAAACTTCTGGTGTTTTTCAATTCAGGTCTCAGGATAGATAGGCTTAACAACAGATGATAGTATTGAAATAAACTTTCTTAACAAAATGAGAGCCAATTTTGTTCATGAACATTCAGATTCTTTACATTACATGTTGTTATAAGAACAAAAATTTACTAATTATCAAGGACTGCAATAGCTTTAATATATGATAGCATGCTTCACTGTGATTCTTATACATACAAATCCTTAATTGTTATAATTACACTAATTACAGATCATAATTTTCAAAAAGTTTCAAATTTAAAACTGATTATTATTTTTATAATTGGTATTTATTTTGTAATAATTGAACAGATTACTCTATTGTATGATTTGTAAATAGTTCAGTTTGTATACCATCAAGATATGTAGATTATTGATCAGTTACAATTATTTTAGTGCTTATGTCTTTTTTTGTGCCAATTAATTGATTTACAGTGTTTTTTATTTCTATGCAGAAATAATTGAGAATTAGAATAAGTTATGTAAATGTATATTTCTTTATATATTAAGTAACTTCAGTCTGTTTGCATATTGAAAAAAATTACAATTGTTAAAAGAATGAACAAAATAAACCACACAAGAGGGAAGTTTAATTATACATTTTTATCTACTTGTATATTTAAGTGTAAGGTTTTCTTTTCTTTTATTACTCTGTCTTGTGAATACTACAAGATATTTTTCTATACCTGTCATGGGTTTTTAGCCAGGCTCACAATGGAGGTGGCTTGAATGATAAGGAACAGGCTCAACATATTTGTATAAACTTTACATGAAAAGTGTGATTGATTATATAAAATTAGACATTTATCAGTTTTTTTTTTTTTACAGATTCACTTTCATATTTTTAAATTTCATTTACAAGATCTCTCTTATAACTAAAAAAATACAGTAGAGCGTCGTTTATCCGAAAGTCGGTCATCCAAAATGTCTGTTATCTGAAAGAATTCCAGTCGGCAAATTTTAATTTTCGCTAGTGCTGTGGCGCTGCAATCTTTGGCTATATCTTGGGCTACTCCAATATTTATTGTTTGTGTGTGTTTTAGCTGGCAGCACTGTCACTTTTGTGTGGTGTTTTTTTGAGGACTGTGTGTCATGCTGAATCAAACGTTTTTGATACTAGATAACTTCTAAACTATAATTTTTTTTGTTTTTATATTTTTCAATATATTTGTTTCGTTTGCAAAAAATAAAGAAATAATTTTTAACGATACAATAGCCACGATTATTATTTTAAAAAGTTTACGTTCGGCTTAACATCAATGAAAATTCAACGCGAAGTGACACGCAATGGAGAAAAATTTCAACATGGGATAGGCTAATGTATTTTTTCGTACATAATTGGTTATCCAAAAAATAAGTTATCTGAATAACCCCAGTCCCCAATTGATTTGGATAAACGACACTCTACTGTAACTGTTTTTATAAAGTTTTTTATATCTGAAAATTATAATATTTCAAATATAACTTTTACTTTTATTTAATAACAAATATCTTATAATCATTTTTGTGCTTTTCAATTAATTTCTCAGGTAATTATTAAACATTAATCCAAAAATTAAAAAAGGAAGATATGTAATTTGCTGATTCATGTATTGTTTTCTACTGAATATTTTTTATATTCCATTAAATAAACTTTTTTATTTAATGCAATTATTTAATTGCATTAAATAAAAAAGCATTATTTAATTTAGGCAATTATTACCTAAAATTTAATATTTTATATAAGTAGTATCTCTTATGTAATACAAATATCGTTATCAGTTGTTTAAATGTTACAAGAATTAGCATGTCCTAAAACATGTAAATTATTAATAACAATAATGTTATTAAATTATAATTTATAAACCTTTAAGTCATACATTTTTTAATTGTTTTAACAAATTTCTTATTTGGACATAGCCATCTGGACATGATGATAATATATTGAAAGCAAAGAAAGTAATAAGTTATTTATCATGGATTTGAAATAGATATTTAATAAAGCATAAAACCATGTGGAATGCCCATGTTGCCACAAGAATGTACTACACCATATGCACTAGTAGACACTTCAGACTTCCAATGTTTTACACAATAGTGAAACTTTAATGAATAAAGTAAAGCATATGATATATTTAACATTTTTAAAATCTTGCTTATGAATAATAATGTCTAAATGAAACACATGATAATACATGTGGTCATGTGACAAAATGTAAACATTTAAAATATATTTGAAGCCTTATATCGTTACATGTTAAGGCAATTAATTACAGAGAAAAATTATTATATAGCATAAAAATTTCTAATAATAGACCATGTAACAGTACTACTGGTTATGTTACCAATCAAAAAATCACTAAAATCATTAATAATATTATCAACTTGAAATAAATTTTCTGCATGTCTAGAAGCCAAGTCGTTTTATTTGAGACCTCGTTTGCTATATTTGATCAATAGAAAGTGCATTAATTAAGAGATTTTATTCACTTTTAAATATATAGATAGTCAAGTTGTAGATAAGTGGATTATTTGTGTGTGTGTAGGTAATATTAAATTTTCAGTCATAATATTAAGTTATAAGTGAAGTGTAAACTTGGAAATATCTTTTTTATTAATGTTATATCAGCTAGTAGTTTAACTTCAATGCTTCATTTCATCCTTATCTTTCTTGCCCTATATTTAGTTGTAACTATTTTTATAATAATTGGTTATCAGAATCACACACAAACAGGATATCCTTGACAACTTAATACTGTCACAGGATAATAATTCAATATGTATTTAATATTTTCTCATCAAAACTTCATATTTTATTGATGTATTATATATTTTAATGACTATTTTCATACACCAAAGAATTTGGTCAAATACAGTTAGCCTACTGCTCTGGGACTTGGATATATTTGACCCTTAACATACACCTTAATATAACACCTTAACATGATGCTTTATCCTTCATGTTTCATCCTTCCAAGTTTATTCATGAATAAGAGATGAAATAGTTATCTTTGACTGACAAATCTAGATTATGCAATTAAAAACTTCTAATATAAACTTCTACAGTGATAACTTTTACTTCAAAATGACACTAACTTCAAACGTTTCAGAGTTTGATAAATTTGACAAAAGTTCACTTTTCAATGGAAAAATGCACTCAAAGAGTAAATGCCAATCTGTTCTGTGCCCTTGTTGTCTCTTGCCATTACTCTTGCATTAAGCTTGTGTGTTTTCAATGTTTTTTCTCTTCATTTTTAGTTGTGTGGTTGTATATTGTGTGTTGTTCATTTAATTTTTAACAATTTCTCCCTGCAAATTTTTTTTGACAGCTTTTGGGCATTCCATACATTTTGTATCCTTTATTCAAACTTTCCTGAATTCCTCAAACTTTTTAGACCACATTTGCACGTTTGAAGTTTAGGACCATCTTCTGCATACACATCACAAATTTTTTTCTGTTTATATGGTATTATACCCTTTCAGAAAATCATAAAGTGTATTTGATATGTTTTTCATCTGGAAAGTTGTATAATTATTCAATTTAATTCATAACAATATAATTTTTATTGCAGTCTTGTTTTTGCCACACCTTTATGCTGTGCACTTTTTCCTCAAAGAAGGTATGTTTTTATTAATTATTTTAATAAATTAATACTTTCAAATATTTTCATATTGTTTATTTATGAATAAACATTAATAGCCAAAAATTAAATTTTGTAGTTCTATATCTGTGACTAGTCTAGAACCAGAGATACAAGAAGTAGTCAAGAAGCTTCCTCAACCGCCTACAGTGGCTTATTATAATAAAGGTCTATGATACAATAACATCATAAATAATAGCAAACTTGATAATGAATTGATGTCAAATGTAATGTATGTCAATTTTTAGATATATACATTATGTTTTAGATTTTATATGATGCACGTCGGATTTATAAAGCACCCATCCATTGATATGTAATTTACTTCCTTCAATATTTGCTCAGGATGTTATTTTATGACATAAGTTGTTGTTGTCAATAATATTTTCGTATTATAATATTCATTACATGTAAATTTTATTAAGCATAAATAATCAAAAAATGTGTTTTGTTAACGTTAAGGATTAATATCAGTTTATGATATTAATTACAATTTATTTTTTAAATATTCATGTTACAAATTTAACATTGTACATTTTTTTAACATTTATAAAATGTTTACTTTAAAAACTTTAAACTAAGAAATTAACTGAATTTTTTCTTTCACTTGCCATTTGATACATGTGTATACAATAAATACTGTTTTGCAGTGAATTAAAAAATTTATTAGAATATCATCAAAATATAAAGTTAGAATAATGTACGAAATGATTTATTTTTGTAATTTTATTAGGGAACACAATTATATACAAATAAATATATATACATATGAAATATTGTATAATGTTTAAAGTTACTGTATATCTAGTTTGTTCATATATAGTAAATAGCAATGTGTTAGAAGTCAAAACTGTTGTATAAGGTTCAAGTTTTCTATATTTTCAAAAATTAAAAATTTATTGCAATTTATATATGTATATTCTTTACTAACATTTCTTCACATTCACATAAATAAAGGTATAGTACATATGTACAGCTTTTAAACTATTTTTACTACTATTGACCATGCTCATAGGAATAAAAAAGGTCAAATTGATAGTCTACATGTGATGGTACACAAGGTATAATCTCCCCAAAATCAACTGTTTTCCATTTTACTAAATATGACTAAAAGTTCATAAAACGCAAGAAATACCACTATACTGCCTTCTTCTGGGATGCAATTGGAGTCATGCTATTAAGCCTATAGTGTTTAAGATTTTGCCAAGACTCACAATTAGAGATGAGATTTCTTTGACATTTTTGGTCATCTAGGGGTCTAAAATTTGTGGGTCCAAATTCCTCATTCTTAACTGTAATTTTACCCAAAATTCATATTTATTTCAATGCAAGCTTCACAATGAAATTAACAGAAGATTAACGAAGAAAAATAAAGGGAGTTAATTATATAAAATCAGAATTACATTTCTTTGTCTTTAAAAATAAAAATTTCTTGATAATAGAATGGATAAATGTTATGTAATTCTGAATTATTCAAAGTCTATAATTAATGTTACAATACTTTCCTGTAATTATAATTCCATTGTCTTAAGGGTATTTTTTTACATATTGTTTGGAGTTGAATAATTTTTCTAATTTCTCTATAAAATTAAATAGTTTTTATTTCAAATTATTTAATTTATTCTCCAATAAATTATGACAAAAAATAAAAGATTTAATAGAAAACTTTGCTTTCTTTTAGTTAATTCTTACCAAATATATAAATAATACAAATTTTTAAAGTGAAATCAATAGTAAATAATGTAATAATTTACTATTGATTTAAACAAAATTATCTCTTAAATATCAAACCGTATTTATTGCTTACCGTTTATAATATAATTAAATTTTCAATAATCTATTTTATAAGCTTACCTCTAATGTATTAATTAATCGTCTCAAACTTCTAATTGATGGAGATATGAAACTTATCAAACTGTAATTGGTGCAACAAAACAATTGTCATTCCAATACAGTTGGAAGTTTAAGATAATTAATTAATATTATTGAAAAGTTATATATTTAAAAGCAAAAATTACTTTTTCTTTAAATTTATATGTTACAATACAATAAATTATCATTAATTCAGTTATTAGCTTGTACTCACATCTTTCATTAAATTAATATATACAGTACATTAATTTAAAAATTTTAAGAACCTCTTATGTTATTCAAATGAAACAAATTGCATTACGCATCATGCAAATGATGATTACTGCATATTCGTGATATACGTCTTGACAAAATGATGTATTTGACCTTGCTAACCACATCTTTTTCTATCATTTTTCCTTTTTCATTCTGGAATTTTCCCAAAATGTTAATTATATTTGTCCTAGAGGTTAATAACGTTTTACAATGCTTAATGTCATTAAATTTAAAACTGTTTTATGTTTAATATCTCAGATTTAATAAGTAAGATGTGTTTTCTACTCTTTATTTGCAAACAATTGCATGTAAAGAGGAGAAAATTGAATACAGACGGCTTTCTCAAAGCAAATACTACATAGAAAATTAATACTTTCAGACGATATAATTACAGTGGCCAAAATATGGCTTGCAAGCTGCATTTTGGCCACAGTTTTATGCCATTGCAGACAAGAAAATGAATGTTTTGATGTTCATATAAAGGAAAATTGTGAAACAAATACATGTTAATAAAGACAATATTTTAATTTTGAATTATATGATATTAACATTATTTAAAATATATTTGTAGTTTTGATATTTATTTATTTTCACAATGAAATTTCATTGCGAGTGATCACAATAAAACTTTTTTTTTTTTTAGTTTAAAATTTTAATTTGAATAAAAGTAGATTAACTAATTAGATAATAATTTTTTGAATGATGAACAGTTCTTAAACTTTATTCATCTACTGATTTTGTTTCTCTTATAGTTGTTTCGAGCCTGTTTAACGCCATAGCCGAAGGAATCATTTTTCCGACTGATTCTTCCAATAACTCTTCATCTAATTGCATTTCTTTTGTTTCATCCACAGAATTTGGAAAGTCATCTGTCTTGATTGATGTTTGTTTCGAAACATAATGTGGTTCTTCATCTTCCTGAATCTGTGTTTCACTCGACTCTTTAATTGATGATTGTCTTGAAGATGTGGATGATGCACGATGAGTTCTTTCATCTGTGATTTGCACGGAATTAGATTTTGATGGTCCATTTTGAATTGATGTTTTTCGTGAAGAAGAGGAAGATGGTTGTGCTGAAGATATTTTTATTCCTGTTTCTTGAGCTGTTGATGTCTTCCTGGATGAAACAGGAGATGCTTGTGCAGAGGGCATTCTAGTTTCTGTTTCCTGAGTTGTTGTGGATGCCTTTCTTGAAGATGATGATGCTGTTTTAGAAGTAACTTCTTGAAGTTTTGTTGATGTTCTTTCAGTAAAGAATGGTGATGTGTGTACAGAAGCAATTGTACTTTCTTCTTTCTGAACTGTAGTTTCTCTTCCAGAAGAACGGGGAATTATTGTTACATGAGGTATATCAAATTCATTTTCTTGAAATTCTCCACTTAGTTTATGAATTTTTGAAGACATCCCTGACACACTTTCACTCGTCTGCATTGAATTTCTAGCAGATTCATCCTGAAATGGTGCCGAGTCGGTTGCTTCTTTGGTAGTTATCTGTTCACTCGTTTCCTCTGACAAAATTCTTCTTTCTTCTGGAGCCAGCTTAAAGGAGACCCACGATTTTCTTTGACTAGATATGGTGAAAGGATCCTCTTCTGCCTGCATCAAAATTGAAGGAATTGTCATTTCAAGTGTTGCTTTGGATAGTTGTACATCTACTTCATCCGTGCCCTGTGCTTCTAAAAAAGACGAAGGCATTTCTCTATGAGTTGAAATGGTATTGCCAGTCGTTGATTTCTGTAAATCAGCTCTCTGTGCTTGAACAGGTAACATATTTTCAGTAGGCATTCCCGTAGGTGTTAAGGTTACTTCTGTTGCTGAAACAGTATACACGTCTTCATCTTCAGCAAGTGTATAAATGAAAGAATTCTGAACTCTCGGCAACAGAAGGTTACAGTAAATATACGTGGCAAAATTATTTGATGCTGGAAGAAAACACATCATCAAGAAAATTACCTGTGAATTAAATTCAAATTATTTTAAATGATTTATATCAACTTTTTATCATTTTATACAGTTATAAATTTCATCTCACTTTATATATCCAATAGCATGGAACCAGATTTTTACCGGTAATAAAACAGCATTCGGAAAACCGTACAATTCCAAAAATAGTCCAATATATTAACATTTTTCTCACTCTGCTTCGATTTCTTTGCTCAATGGCTCTTATCCTAAAAAATTGTGATGTTAAAACTTTAGTATTTTTACTTTCCACACAGAGGGATTCACCATAAACTGAGTGGATAAAATCAAACATTTGCAGTATGTCTCAGATTTGTGCTTCATCAATGGGCAGGACATAGTTTTCCTCAATTGTGTCACCAAAATATGCACCATTTTCCCATAGTCATCCCAGGAGGCATTTCTCTTTGTCAAATCACTCGTGTGTTGCCTTATTATATCAATCAATATGAGCTACCCTTTGGACACCAGGAGAACCTTCTTACCATCATGGGCTCAGTCAGGTCTGCAACTAGGTTGAGGGGGATGAGGACGAACATATTTGGCAGAACCCCTGAAGAATTTCTGGGGTTTTCAATTGCCTGGATTCACTCCCAGAGTGGTAGGCTGATACTATAATTGCTTCATTCATCCTGATATTGATGTTAAAAAATTATTGTTTACATTGTAAATTATAAGAATGGAATCAAAGAAAATGCTAAAATATTAATAGACAAATATATATTGGTACAATGTGCATCATTACAAACAATGGCCGATGCGATAGAGGCATCGGTCTGCACTCTGGGAACCCAGCATCAAACCGGGGGTAAAAATCCCATTAATTTTTCCCAGGCAGTTTCAGATATGTCGGCCTATTTCTCATCCAAAGTGCTGATCATGGTCTTGGCTGGCCCAAGCCCATGATCATTGTAATTGAAAAAGTCCCCTTAGCATTCACAAGCAGAAAGACTTAAAGGAAAAAAACAAAAGCCGAGTGACCACAGTTAAAAAGGCTCACTTAGTGTCCACAAGGAGGAAAGGCACAACGAACCTTCTATATGGCACTCAGGCTTATTGTAACCGTAAGTTATAATATATACGAGAGTCCCTTACCCTCCACCAAATAATAGTACATGTAAAAAATGTGAGGCCCTAAGCTGCAGCCTGTACAGCTTATTTTGCAAATTCGCCTTGGCCATAGGGAAGGTGAATTAGATGCAAATTACTTATGGACCACGGATATGATGAATATTATGCACTTATGATGCGTGAAGATTTTCGAGTTTTCTTCGTGTGTGTAATTTTAGCACCTAAATTGGGGCCATAAAATCTTCCCGGAGGCATAGCCTCTTATCGGATCGCCCATGTTTTGTTTCCCCGATCCCATCAATCAATCCCGAATCCACGATAGTTCGGAAGGCCCTCTTAATGCCTAGTATGGAAAATGATTAGGCTTTCGTTTAGGAACCATTAAAATCAGTGTAGCCAGACCCTAACGGCCATTCTACCGGGCCTCATTTTACAGAAAGTTTCAAAAATTTTATCTTATTTAAAACCTGTGAAAATTATGAAAATGTGGAGACATTTAGTGTGATAATTTATTATTAATTATATTCTCCACTGTGAGACTCGAACCCACGACCAACTGCCAGTGTTCGCTAGTATTATCCACTCGACTGGTGGGGGGGCCATCCTGGATTAGGCGATATTTACAACGAATGAGGCTCGGAGGACTCGAAAGTCCAAACGTCTTGCACAAGGCCCGCTATAGACGAAATTGGGGTGCATTTAGAGGTATTTAGAAAGTCTCGAGCGATGATCAAGCACGATGACTTTCTAATCCCCTTGAAAATACACGTGGCATAGGCGTGAAACCGGCCGTGGATGCATCAACGATACAAATTAACCTATTGATCCCTTTCTATCGGGTTTTGCGCATACCTACAGGGTCTAAAGCATTTTTAAACACGTGAGAAACTTGTTTTTTTGAAGGACTACTTACGATTCGCAAACCGGATATATGATTGTTGCTAAGTGACAGATGAATTCGGCACTTTCGCCCGAGGACAGGTAAACACCCACGAGAAACACGAGGACTGTAAAGAGATCGGACAATTTCCTTTATAACTCGCATAAATCCTGAGTTAATTACAATTTAAATTCATGAGAATCTTAATTAATTAAACACATTAATCGATTAAGTTTAAATTCTTAAGACATTAAGTGAATTGATTGATTAAAATCATGCAAATCTTCGGTTGATTGATTAGAATTCAATTTCTACTAATTTTAATGTTAATCTTAATGATAATTTTAATGTTAATTAAATAAACAAAATTAATTGATTAAAATCAAATTAGTACAAATCTTGAGCTAAATAATAATTTAAAAAAATTTAATTAAGATTTTGAATGAATTTTAATGTTAATTAAGTAAAAAATATTTAATTGATTGCAATTAAATTTGCACAGATCTTGAGTTAATTAAGTAGAAATTTAAAAGATTTATTCGAAATTAATTCTAATCAACAAGAAAATTAGTTAATTAAAGCAAAAAAACCAACCAGAAAAGAAATATTCTCTTCTGCAATTCAATTTATTTTCTATTCTTTCGAGGAATTGAGTGTACTTATTTTCTTCGTGCAATTTATTGCATATTGCACGACATAAATCATTTAACACCCGTGCCATTTTCTTTCTTAAATGCTCTTAAATTTACGTTCGAATCTTCCAAAGATTTAATTTTGTGTTCTGGAATTTTTAAAATTCAAGAAAAATTCGATTCTATTTAAAATTTCGTTAGTTCTTTTGCAGGCAAAAATAACGACGAATTAAACAGTTAATTACGATTAAAATTAAATCAGAAATTTAATTAAAATAAAAGGGAAAATTAGTAAATTTCTCTTTAAATTTAATGAAGAGGAAACTTTCTTCTTCATTATTTTGGGCCAACCTCATACGTTACTATAATTCCCAGTGGGTGAAACCACTTAACAATGGGTTCGCACCTCCATCGCCCAAAGGCTGGTCACGTGGATGGTTTTTTTTGATGGGATAAGGCAACGCAACAACCGAAGGGATGCCTCCTAAGAGGGCTTTCGATGGAAAACTTGCCCCTATTTAGATGGTTAGACACGAAGAAAACCCGTAAAAACCCACGTGGCCTGCCCGTTGGTGAGGTGAGAACCCGCGACTACCGGTGTTGGAATGTGAAACTGGTTACTAATTTGTTATCAGAGGTGAAGAAAACCCGAAAAAACCCCACGTAGACTGCGTATTGAGGTGCGAACCCGCGACTAACTACCATTGTTAAGTAGTTTTTATCCACTCAGCCACTGCAGGACTTCCTGTAATTTCGAATTTCCTTTGTATTTCTCCTTCATCCGATTAGGAACACTCGCAGAGACTGTCCTTAACTACAGTCAAACCTCGTTACAACGTCCTCCAAAATAGTGCCACACCGTAAAACCAGCGTAGTGCCAGCGATGGCGCTAAATCGAAGATCGACTGCATTTTCTTATCGATCCACGAAACAGATTTAAAGGTCAGAGGTCAAATAAATATCGTGAAATATGGCAAGTCGGACAAACAGGGTGTCTATCGCAGGTTAATTCAACAAAACTACACGTTGATCTTTCCTGGAAGAGGAGGGATGACTACAAAAAGGTTTAGTCGCATTCATTCAAACGTATAAAGTACAAACAGACACACAAACGTTCCTCTCAGATACACTTTAAAATGAATTTAAACTCAAATTACACCCTTAATTTCCTATATTAGGAGAGGGAGGGTGCTTAAAAAAACACGCGCAGGAATTTAAAAAAAAAAAAAACACTTCAGGTTCTTATCATAATTAGGGCAATCACCCCCGGGTAATGAAGATAAATTAAAGATTTTATTTAAAATTTTAAATCATGTTTTTTTATGCGATATAAACGGGAATTATTTAGACAGATGCAATATAAATTTATATGTATATACAGTATTTATATAACCTACCATCTATTAAATAAAATTGGGACATTGGTAGAGTTTTAATGGTAACGGATAGACAGCCAGTTGTCTTTTTTTTTTCTTTTTCTTTCTAGTAAGTGCGTGTTTATAAGACATTTACATACTTCCGTATACTCGAATCGAGTAAAATTAGAATGAATTTATATAATTAGACATAAGATGCAAGTAATAAGACTAAAGGGGGGGGTTGAATTAGCCATTAGGTACGCTATAAGCGGGTGTAGATGATAAGCTTTAAATCCTCTAACAAAGGACGTTAAACGGGGGCATACAAATCCAGTTTTTGCAGTTAGAAATCCCTACGCGCTCTAAATTTACGTATAAAAATATAAGTTAAAATAATAATAATAAAAAGTACGTCCTGTAAGTCTGTTCGTAAGCGTAGAAATAATCTTACGATTTATGTAAATCTTAATACAAACTTTGATTATATTTCAGGTACTGTGACGTATGAGGGGAGTGATTTAAATATATCCTGTGATGTAAATGACATACTTCACTTTTTCTTTACGTCATTCTTTCCTTAAACCTGATTGGGACAGCTCGTCTTAGACAGTTTAATACCTGTTTTGCGTCACTAATACAGTGGATTGGGATGGAGAAAGTAAGTTAGGTCATTTTTATGTCATTTTTATAATTTAAAATTTGATAGTTTTTTTCCTCGGTAGGAATACCGCCCGCTATCCTTAGATTGGAGGTCAAAGGTCAGGTTTCTGTTTAAATTATTTAACCTTAATTCGTGATATTAAATCTACGAGAGAATAGGGATGATTAGCTTAATTATTGTTTTATACATACCAAATTTGGTGGTAAGAGTGGGGGGTATGCTGTATACGTTATTGTCCGTTCGGTACAGTGTACCTTTCTTAACCGAACCGGTTCTTTGTTAGGCAGGTCGTCGTAAATCGAACTCTAATTTCACTCAGGTTGAGTGAGAAATTTATGTTCTGTTCCTAAATGACTAAATACAGGGCTGGGCTTAAGCTGTAATAAATAACAGGTCCTACCCCTCTACCAAATAAAAAATGTAAAGATGTGAGGCCCTAAGCTGCAGCTTGTTTAGTTCACTGTAAATCCAACCCTGCTTAAATATGACATCTGATATTTCTAGGGGGCCTGAACGCTAGGTATTTTATTCATAAACATGCAGGGCCTTCTTAACAGCATTACAGACCCCTTATAAAGTAATGCACTGGGCCCTGTCTACACAACCGTCAGGTGATCGGAAAATTAGTATTAAACTCTGATCTGTACATAAATTAGCGTGGGACCCCCCAGGTAAATGCCAAATGTTAAGATGCCACTGTATACATGTAGACCTATACTCATCTATTCGTCCACAACGCTAGTGGGTAAAGGGGTGAATGTAGGTTTGCACGTTCTAATTAGGGCCTCTCCTGATATCGGCTCTAGTTAAGCTACTGTCTGGTACAATTATTAGGTCGTAAAGCGCGACATACTGTAATTTATTACGTGACGTATACTTTAACAATACATTTTAAGTACACGAAACGTACTAAAATTGAAATTACTATTCCAGATTGAAAGTAAAATATAAATTATCAATCCCTATTCCAGGTTTTATTCAGGTTGAAAACAACGTATATTGTTTTTATTCTAGTTTTTTTTTCAGTTGTGTCACGATAAAAATCCCCTGGAGCTTTAAGAATATCAAATGAATTGTTAATGCATTTAGGTTATTTGTTGCACTTATAAGAATACTTAAAAAAAACTTTATAATTAATCCCCTCCAATCAATATATTACACGTGTAAGTAGTGTTATATAAGCCCTAAGATGAGCCAAATGTCAACTGCCCAGTGCTCGTGAAACCCACAAAACTTTATATTGTTTACACGTGTGTAATTGTTTTGTCACGTTCAAATCTTCCTGTACTTGAAGAAAATTTAAATAAGTACTCAGGATACACGATAGAATTTTAAGTACAGGAACCCAGGATACAGGATTACAAGAATTAAATAATAACTGCAAGTCAGTAGCGTAACAGGGAGGAGGCCAGAGGATCGGGTCTCCCAATATTTATTTGTTTACAGGGCCCAAGTCTCTTGGACCCCCTCCTGGTCACCTTAATAATGGTTTTGTCATTGGGAATAACAGAAATTCTTAATTACAACACGTGCCGCTGCAGTCTTCATTCTATTTTTGTGATGGTAACTAAAGATGAGGGTCGTAATCTTATGTCTATCTTAATGTATCTTCTTGTTTTCCTTATTACGAAGAACCTGTAACGTCTGTATGATAATTTGAAAGTAACCTTCAAAGTAACATGAATGGATTGTATTTATTATTACTATTTCATGTCACAGGAGAATGGCATAAACAAGTTAAGAATGCGAATCTTCTAATACAAGGAAATATATAAATTCTTAGTATCAATGTCATAAGTACTTTGCAAAATCTTTGTAAACGTTCTTATATAAATATTAACAAAAGGAAAGTCGATCCTCCAATAACGGTCACCTCTAAACGGCGGCCATTTTTTATTTTTCAGGGACGTTGAACGCAACTGCAACTACAAAATAACCTTTGAACAGAGGAAATTTTTATGTTCCCTTCACTTGACATTCTTTTATGACGTCATTCTTTCGGAATTACGTTTCATGAAATCTTACTTTTTGGATGGAACGGGTGTTTCAATGCAATGGGGTTCAATGGGGATTTGATTGCACTTCGGAATAACGTTTTTTAGACAATTAATTTGTATATTAATACAATATAATACATTAAATAACTATTACGAAACGTTCTGTACGTAAAAAAACCGGTGATAGTTACGTGTGACACTTGTTCTAATGGAGAGAAATCCGGGTCAACAAGTGAACCCGGATATTAACACTACTACTAAGGTATAGACCTTAATGATATTGGTTTAGTAAGCTGAACAATTGCTCTATTTATTTTTCTTTCTTTTATTTTTCAGATGGATGTTGCAACTAAGAACAAGTGCCAACTTCCTCATCACATATTCGTACGGAATTTTTATATTTTGGGTGGTTACATCACAAGAAATCCATACTGGTTCGTTGCTTTACCATTCTTCATCACTCTTGTCTTATCCACTGGATTACAGAAGATCAAGGAAATTGTGGATATGGAGTATTTCGTTACCATGGATGATAGCGATACGTTTCGCTATAGGAAGATACTTGACACGCTTTTTCCCATGAATCTATCATCCGAGTTCGATCTTGGAAGATACACTCGACTTGGAAGCTTTGGTGCAGTGATGTTAGTATCAAAGGATGATTCTGTATTGAAGAAGAGTACATTTCATGAAATCTTACTTCTGGATGAAACTGTTAAAAACATTACCATTGTCAGTGAATCCGGTGAGAAGAGGTATAAAGATTTATGCGTTAAGCATGGGAATTCGTGCTACATGCATGACTTCTTTACCTTCGAAGACAGAGATAACAGCACAGATAATATAAATATACCATACCCCATAGATTTTAGCAATAAATATACCTTCAAATTTTATGGTATTTCATTCGGTGGTGTTGAAATCGACAATCGAGGATTAATTAAAACTGCCAAAGCTTTGAGATTGTTCTATTATTTAGATGACAGCAGGTATAAAAATGATATCACGCTATGGGAAAATGAATTCCTCAGGACTATGAAGTCGCTACGTCTTCCTCATTTTGATGTCTATTACATTGTGTCTACTTCTGTCGCGTACGAAATGCATTTAATTCCGCTTACCGCAATACCATACTTTGTCGTTGCGGCACATTTTGTGGTCTTGTTTACAGCTGTAACGTGTATGGTACCAAATTCTGTTCAAGGAAAACCATGGGTTGGAATTATGACATCGATTTCCTCACTCTTATCCTCCCTTTCTGGATTTGGTCTGGCATTTTATCTTGGTATCCCTTACATATTTTACAATGCCATTATACCATTTCTTATACTAGGTAAGTACGCGTTAATTTTTACTATATTCTACCAAATTTATTTGTAATTATGCATTTTTTGTGCTTGTAGGGGTGAGTATGGACGACACTTTTGTTCTGTTATCCGCATGGCGACATACAGAGAAGAAAAATAGCATAGAACAAAGAATGTCAGAAGCTTATTCCACAGCTTCACTTGCCATTACCATAACTTCTCTTACCAATGTCATTACCTTCACTATCGGTTACTTAATGTCACCATATGATTCTGTTAGGGTTTTCTGTATTGTCACTACTTTCTGCTTGGTGTTCGATTACGTGTATCAGATAACATTCGTAGGGGGTTGCATGGTTTTGTGCGGAATCGCCGAAGAAAAAGATCGCCATTGTTTTACTTTCATGCCTGTAAAATATGTAGAAAATACAGGTAAAATCTTACCGCACTTTTATTAATTAATTAACAATAAAAAAAGTACTAAATTAAAATATTTTTATTTGCAGAAATTAGAGGAATCTTCCAGAAATTACTGTATTATTCTGGGCATATTCAACTGACTACAACTTCAAAGACATCATTTCTACTGGAAATTTGGAAGAAATTGGGCGAATTATTAACGAAAAAGGTATCTAAGCTCGTAGTTCTTGTGTTGTTTATCGTTTATTTCGTCTTCGGTTTGCAGAACGCCACTCAAATTACCAACGAGTTAGAAATGGGAAATATGGCCTTGTATAATACGCATACCGATAAGTACTTCACCCAATATCATAAGTATTTTGTGCAGTATCTTGTTAGAGTGCAAGTGTTCATTGACAGGCCCATCAATTATGCTGATCCTTACGTTAATCGAACATTGCACGACATGTTTCAGAAATTCGAATCGTCCTCACTTTTCTGCAATTCTTCTTTAACAGAATCATGGTTAAGAAGCTTTCACGAGTTTTTAAATAATGAAAAGTATCGTGGCTTATTACCTGACTACAATATCACCGACAAGAAGGACTTTATACGTGTGTTACGTCTGTTCTTACATCATCCCCTTGCTAGGAGATTTCAGAAGGATATCGTCTTCAACGAGAATCGAACAGAAATTATAGCCAGTAGATTTCTGTTTCACACTAACTACACGAAGAGCGATTCCATGTTTAATAACATGTGGTGGGATTTCTTGGATAATGTCAAAAATGAATCAATTCCCGTGAAAGTCTTTCACAGATTCGGATACTTTTCTGATGGTTTCAGGAAGGTTATACCCGCTACATTGCAGACTATAGGCATTTCAGCAGGCATTGTTGCATTCGTGTGTTTCTTCTTCTTCTTCTCTTTCTCTTGCACTTTATGCGTTGCAATATGTATAGTATCTGTAGCAATTGGTGTGCTAGGATACATGAGACTATGGGGAGTGAGCTTGAATATCGTTTCCATGACGGTTATCATAACTATTTCAGGATTTTCTGTAGATTATGCATCTCACGTGTCCTGTGCTTATCTGTTTGCCTCTAAATCATCGAAGCAACGCTTAGTATCTGCCATTATGGATGTTGGCCTACCGATCTTTCAAGCTGGTTCTACCACTATTTTATGTATTATTCCATTTATTATCCCCCCTTGTTACACGTATAACGTGATTATGAAAGTGGTTATTTTGGTATCCATTTTTGCCATGACTCACGCTGTGATATTTTTGCCAGTGTTCCTTTCTCTCGTGGACGATGCATGTTCACATTTTAAAAATCTATTCAAAAGAAGGCAGAAGGTTAACATTTCCAATAAATCAGATAATGGCCACGTAAACTGTGCATTCGATGCTAAAGATGTAAACATTTTCTCTTACAAAAACGATACAATGAAACTTTGATCATGAAATCTTCAATATCATTACAGTCGACCCCCCCTATAAGATATAGATACGTTCCAATTTATTAGGAATCCGATTTCTTACAAGTCGTTCCAATCACAGCCCGACACGTGTCAAGTTTACGGACTACGGCTGATTGAAAGGTTTTCTTCCATAAAATTAATCGATTCTACACTAATCCGACTCAACATTTCCAAAATACGTATATTTTTTCATAGTTTTATAGGAATCATAATTATAGGGACCGTAATTATAGGGGGGTCGACTGTACTTCTTTTATGTATATATACATGTAAAAATTAGGTTTTAAATGCTTCCATTTCATTTTTTATTTAATATAGGTTTTAATTTGTCGTTATTAATTAACCACAGAATTCATTAATTCATAAATTGTCTCGAAATAAAATAAAAATTTTTTAAAGTATGGTTTATGTCCCTTAATTTCTTCGAGATTACGGCGGCAGGTGGCGGTTTTATGTCCCTTAATTTCTTCGAGATTACGGCGGCAGGTGGCGGGTTTATGTCCCTTAATTTCTTCGAGATTACGGCGGCAGGTGGCGGGTTTATGTCCCTTAATTTCTTCGAGATTACGGCGGCAGGTGGCGGGTTTATGTCCCTTAATTTCTTCGAGATTACGGCGGCAGGTGGCGGTTTTATGTCCCTTAATTTCTTCGAGATTACGGCGGTAGGTGGCGGGTTTATGTCTTATAATGTGATTTACAATAGCATCTTCTGAAGACTTAATTAACCTATAAAACGTGGAAAGCGAGAATTTTGATCGTGTTAGATTGGCGGGCCGATTTCACGTCATGTGTTACGTATAATAATACGTTACACGGGAGGCACAATCGGTGTGTCAGTCGATTCAATATAATGATCGTACGTACGTGTTGCATATAATAATACGTAATACATATTATTTGTAATTCTCTGTCAGTGTAGACGAATCAAAAGTGAATACATAATTCGTTTACCTATTTATTTTTTTTCAATAACCGCTTTAACGTTTTTTCCCCACAGTAAATAGCGCATAAGGTAAAGAAATCCAGCAACAAGTTGCCTAACTTTCCCTGCAAAATTTGGTGGCGTCATTTTTTATCATATTTTTTTAAAAAAACTTTTATACTTTTAACTATTATAAAATAGCAAAAGGTATATATATATATATATTTTTTTTACTGTACAGCACGTACAGTACAATACACGCATGTAAAATACAGTAGAGATGCAGTAAAGAACTAGTATATTTTAACTTTACACCTACGTTTCTATGTTCTATCTTTCATAAAAACCATAGGAAAAACCTAAATTATATGTTAAGATGACCACACCAAAAAAGTATTTCGTAATTCTTGCAAATCTGACAGTACTTTTTAGATTTTCTGGCTTAATTGTACAACACTTAATGTAATTTAATGTAAAGGGAATTTAACATTATTCTTTCGAGACACGATACTGTCTTATTTTGCAGATTGACACTGGCGTGGACCAAATTTTTTGATCACGTGAATCTTCTCTACCCGTTTACAACATAATTTATAAGCAGGTGCATTCGGAAAATCAAAAACAATGTTATATTTAACAATGTAATATTTTTAAATATAAAATAATATTTTAATATTTCAATGATATTTATTTTATTTTATTCATGTTAATTTCACATTTAAATAATTTTATATTAAAAATACCCGTAATTAGAATAACAATTGAATTGAAACAATACTTTAATAATAAATATGAAGAAACAATGAATCCCATTTGCTAGAATTCTTTTATTATGGAAAATTCATCTTCAGATTTAACTTCCACTACAAGATTTTCTTATTGCGTGTTCTCTTCGCTTTAAATATTAAAAGTTCGAGATAGACGATGCCTTCATAACTAAAAGATAAGTGTAAATCCAATTTTAGATCATTGCAAGAGTTATTATTAATGTGAAACCTTTTCCTTTTCAGATTTCAAGTAGTCCAAAAAGGAAGTATGTGTCCATAATTAGCGTATTGCTAATGGATTCCTTATGATTTTACTCTTATTTTATATACGGACTTTCAGGTAGTGCGTTGTTAGGATGATGCATCATTCTAATGCGTAATAATAGTTTTAAACAAAGTTTTGAATCTCTTTGTGTTGTGGAAATGGGCGATTCCAGTTTTTCCCGTAATGTGGATGCTGCCTAGACATTATGGGGTTTCTGGACAAACAAAAAACCCAGGGAGAAGGGTGAGACCTTGACGATGGTTCCGTGGCTTAAAAGGGAATTTATTTATATGAAGATTTCTATTTATATTTCCGTATTGCAATAAATTCTGTTAAATGTGTTTCACTTATTTCTGAAAACTAAGGCTTTAATTATGGATACAAAAATATTTCAGAAACTCCTCACGAGGATTATGAAACTATGCATCCCATTTCGGCATTAAACACGATTAGACTGTGATTGGTGTTTGACAAACAGCACCATCGGTGTAAAATTGGTAAGCGGAAACTCGTGCGGATTTAAAATAAATTTCATTCGCCAAACCGTGATAATTCAGTTAAATTTTAGAAACCTTCAAACAGTGGAAAACCACTAAACAGATTCGCATGTAAACACATGCTAATCTGTTTAGTGGTGTTTCCCACTTTCACTGGGACGAAACACCAGATGGGTTGCACGTGTAGTGTCAGTCATTTAACGTTTTCCGAGTTTTCTACACGTGTGTAACAATTAAATAGGGGCCGGTTTCCCAGAGAAATTTCTCCAAACAAATAGGCTTTCACCCGTTGGCTAATCACCCACGTGTAACGATGTCTTTAGCTAACCAAATGAAAACCAAAATCATTAAATCGAACGTGGCATATAAAATTTAAACGGATTCAAACTTTAAGTCGGTCTTTTTAAAACATTTAAAGGTTTGAGTCTTTGAAACTTAAAAATTCCTATAACTTTTTCAATTCCCAATTAAAATTTTCATAGGAAATTTTTAATATTTTACGTTATTCATTATTGTATTAAGGTACACTTTTTAAATATTTTTGTTAATAATTGAACTATTAAAATCAACGTAGAAAAAATAAAACAAATTATTTATTAATTGATTACATTTTCAAAAATTAACATCTTGATTAACATAAATAATTAAAGTTTAAAGTATTCAGATCTTTCATTTTCCAGCTTTGGTGAATATGATATTCCTGTAGAAAAATTAAAAGATAAAGAGCTATTTATTGTGAAAACTTCACGATGCCGGTTGCAATTCTTAATTACATTTATAATAATTTATTTAAAACATAAGCTCTCCGCCTGAAATTAATAGTGGCTTGCCCCTATACATCATACTTTTCCTCTAACAATAGAGTTGTGAACATAATGTATCTAACACCTATTTAGGAAAACATATTTGAATTAAAATAAGTGTGTTACGGTCCAAATTGGAAGTTTTTGTATAGTTAATCCTCCAGCCTATCTGTCTAACTCCATTCTCGAGATTAAAGGAGGAAAGTCAGACAGATGATCTTTACGACGATAAACTGAATCAAACCCATTTTAGGTTGAGTGAATTGATGACATTTTCAACAGAAATATGTAAATAAAATTTGTGAAAATTCCGAAATAACTGGTGAGTATAAAAAAAGTATTCAAACTATAAATAAAGTAAACAATATTAGAATTTCTATGCAATTTTACCGAAAGGAATCCTTGTTTAAAGAAATCTATTATCTAGCTCACAATATCGATAAGGATTTAGCTTAAATTCTTCAATTCCCTTGTATAAACGTATAAACGGTGTTCGACTGTTTTTATATCGTTAAACAAAATAATATACTATTTATATAGATTTTAAGCGTTGAAAACAGATTAGACAAATATATTAAATGTATATAAATATATAATTATGATGTAATTTAAAAAATACACCTATAAATACCCACTGTTGTCCGTCTGACTGTCCTTCCTTAATGTCGAGAACGAAGTTAGATAGATAACAGAAGAGACAAGGTTTGGAACCCTTAGGTGCAAAACCAAGAATAACTATATAATTGAATTTCCGATGTAACACAGAAGTCACGTTATTTCAATTCAAAAATTCTCCCCCCCCGAAAGCAGTTAATAGATGACCGGCATGGCTTAATTGATGACAGGAGAAGTATGATGTACAGGGGCAAGACACTACTAATTTGAAGCGGAGATGATATATATTAAATTAAATAAAGTAAAAATATTAAAAATTCATAACAAATAATTGCTCGTATTGTAATATAGATTTACTTACTGGCTTTAATCATAATGACGATTTTCAGAGTAAATTTTATTATTAGCTGAAATATTAATAAACACGATATAATCAAATTATTCTATAAGAAAATAAATATAGCTTACTGTTCATTAAGTTAATGCTTACTTGCAGTAGATACGTATTTGCTGTCACCCTCTTAAAACAGTTGATTTACGTTATAAATCAACTGTTTTCTATAACTTGTTACACGTTTATATAGATATTGAATAGCGTAAATGATTGTAAAACCGAATTTATGTCCACAAGCGAAAACATAAATACCTGTTTGGAATTTGTAGTTTACACAGTTTATTTTCACATTGCTATAATTGAGAAATTGGGTGTTGTAGTTTGATTTTTACTTTCCTGGCTATTATATATTAGAGGGAAAGAATGGAGATCGATTAAAAACTGACCCCACCAAGATTTTTACATTCTTGGACTCAAGACCTTCAAATGCAAAAAAATTCGGGTTTCTTCTGTACGTACTGTACATGTTAGTGTGTGCGGGGCACAGTTTTACTCACTCTCTTTGAAGCTTAATAACTCCTGTGGTTTTTGTCGAATATTTCTGAAATTTCGCAAGGAGGTTTGCTTATAAGGGTGAGATATTCTGTTAAATTTTGGTGGTTAAAAATCGAGAGGGTGGGAAGATAAAAGTAGTCACGTGTATCTTCAGTAGGGCCAGACTCAGTGACGATCTTACTTGTTATTAACATTTACAATTTTTTTTTTTTATAAAACTCATCCCTACCTTCAAAATTAAGCTTTTTGCCATTTTGTGATAGTTAAAAATATTAAACGTTTTTATAATAAAATATGATAACAGATGGCGAGACCAAATTTTGCCGAGAAAGATAA